AAATAAAAGGGAGGCAAATGAGGCTTGATATAAAGACACTTTCTAACAGCATTATCCAAAAAAGAAATGAGCTGCTTTGGGAGGTAATGTGTACTCCTTCACTGGAGGTCTTCTAGGAGAAACTAGATGACCATTTGTTAAATTATAAGGAGGATTCTTGATTTGGTATGGGTTAAATTAATTTTTTTTCCCCGATATCTCTTACAACTCTTTGATTCTGTGAGGTAGCTAAGTTGGCCGTCCTAATGGGAATTTTTAAAAAGTAGCTGTGAATGCAAGATTAAAGTCATTTGTATACTGGTGCTCATTGAACCATGACAGTGGATGAGGTCACCAAGTGTAGAGTAGGAGAGGAAAGGAAATATGGGGGGAAGGGGGAACCCAGGATGGAAACTTGCATCTAGAGGGGAGGAGGAGGAAGAAACTGGGCAGGTTAGCAGAAGTTGTAGTTGAGGAGGCAGTCAAGTTAGTGGAGCAGTCAACACCGTCAGGTGTTGGCAGGGAGATCCAGGAGATTGTGAACTGAGATGAGTCTGAAGCGGAAGACAAAGAAGGATAATTTCATGTTATAGCTTCAGCTTATATAGAAGGTCAATAGAAGAAACATGAAAGAAGAACAGCACTCTGTGTGTGTGTGTGTGCGTGCGTGTGTTTTAAACCACAGATGAAGACGTCAAAGCCCAGGACAGAATCTTCGGTGGGAAGAGGAAGAGACTGGGAGGGTAACAGTGAAGGAGAAGTCAGAAGTGGAAGGTCAGTAGCTTTTAGATTTCTTGTGTCCCCCTCTTTGAAGGCACGAACTATCTTGCTTTTGAGTGTGTCTGCTTAGCGCTTGGCCCGTAAGTGTTTAATTGATGCTTTTCATTTTTAACGTAGATGTGTGTGGAAGCTTCTGTCTAATATACCAATGGCATGGCTAGACATCTGATTTGGGATCTGGCCACTTTCTACAAGGGAGATTGCAATGTCCGCTTCTGTTGAGAGGAAGAGGAAGCTGCTGCCAGGTTCAGCCAGCAGCTTAGCAGAAGAGGGACGAGGAGGACTCATGATGGTCTCTTGTGACAGAGTGGTCTCTTTTTCATTCTCTTTGTTTAGAAGACAAGTGTTAGATTTAGTTCTGTCTGATAGGTATCAAATATCTGTAGTCTACCTGTGCAATAATGGGTTCGGAATAGAAAGCCACCTTCCCACATTGTTTTTAAGGGGAAGGTTTGGTACTGCTCGGTAGCACAGTGGATACATCAGTGGAGTGAAGAAGACTCGAGTTCAAATCCAGTCTCAGACTCTTACTGGCTGTGTGACCCTGGGCAAGGCACTTAACCTCTGTTTGCCTCAGTTTCCTCATCTGTAAAATGAGCTAAAGAAGGAAATGGCAAACCACTCCAATATCTCTGCCAAGACCCCAAATGGGGTCACCAAGAGTCTGACACAACTGAATTGACCGAACAACAACAAACAGTTGCCAACTTGGCTTCCTCCCACTAAGCTGGTTACACAAATGTCACTCACTGATAGCTAATTAACCTCTTTATTTGAGTAAACAGATCAGAGAAATTATACAGATTAGGACAAACGATAGAAGACACCCAAGTAAAACAGCTCTTGGGAATGAACTTGGCCCAGCTCAACCAAGGGGAAAATGATGGGAGTAGAGGTGGAGCAGAGGTGAGGAAGAAGTAAACTAGTGGGGCCATTGGATTGTCCCTTAGGAAAATTGCCGCAGGAATGGGAAGTAGTATTACATATTTATCCATTCCACTACTCTAGGATCCACCCAATAAATAGTACTTTGGAATTTATGCCAAAGTCGTTTCTGTAGAAGTTGGCCTTCGTTTCATCAGATAATGATAAATGGTACATAGTATGTAATTTAATTTGAACTTGACTGTAATCCTTTTTTCTTAGCTGCCAGGAGGCACAGGGCTACATCGAGCCCTCGCTGGCAATGACCAACTCATCCCAGGTGCCTGGTAACATCTATTTCTTTGTTACTTTTTATTGTTCTTGTTCTTTTTAAAGATAATTACTTTTTATTGTGCCAACTTAAAAAAAAATTGCCCCAAACCCTTTTTGATAGCAGGCAGCATGGAATCCTAAGTAAATTTATATCAGCGGAATTTAACCAAGATTGACCTTCTGTATTAACACAGACTAGGGCTTTTTAGGGGGCAAAAGCTTATTTTACAAGACTGATAATCTGATCCATTTGAAAAAAGGTGAAACAGACTTTAGGGAGAGGCCATAAAAGCCTTCCTTAGGCACTTAGGTAGGGCAGTGGATAGCATGCCAGGCTTGAAGTCAGAAAGATTCATCTTCCAGAGTTCAAATCTGGCCTCAGGTGCTTACTAGCTGCATGGCCTTGGGCAAATCACTTAACCCTGTTAGCCTCAGTTTCCTCATCTGTAAAATGAGTTGGAGAAGGAAATGGCAAACCACTCCAGTATCTTTGCCAAGAAGACCCCAACTGGGGTCACAAAGTCTTAGACACGACTGAACAGCAACAACCAGGTACTTAACCTGTTATTTCATTGGTATTGGGAACTTAAGGATAAAGAAATTTCCTCTACCAGTGTAGCTTGGTATCTTCAACTCATGTCTTAGAGAAATGCTTTGAGCACTGAAAAGTTACCCAGGGGTCACACAGCCTTCTGTTTTAGATTTAAGACTTGAATTCAGGTCTTCCTGGTTCCAATGCTAGCCCTTCTTCCTCTATCCCAACCTGCCACCCTTAGCAAACTCTCTGTTACAATCCCAAATGTCACAGTCCCCTACAGGGGAAAAAAAAATGATGGAAGAAGGACATTGTAGCTGTCAGGAACTACTTACCTTGATAAAGGAAAGAAGAAACCCATGGTGGGGATAGCAAAGGGCATGTATAGATTGAGTTTCCAGCTTCCTGAAGCAGGGGGAAAGCTCCTTGCTCCCCAAGAAATACACCAGTAATGATGGTTCTTAGTGCTTCCCAGGAGTTTGTCTGCCCCCTCCTGTTTTTCCATTGCTGTGTTTTATTTGTATTTCTCTTGCCAACTCGGCTTCCACGTCTCTGCCTTTACTCCTTTCCCATGTTCTCCCCTAGCTGGGGTAGCCCACAGTGGGTCCTGATGAGAACAGCTGAGTCCAATCATTAGCTGACTCTGGGCAAGTCACTTAAGCTCTCAGCTTCATTTCCTCAGCTGTAAAATGGGGATAATACTACCACCTCCCTTAAAAGGGCTGTCATGAAGGTCAAATGAGATCATCTTTGTAAAGGAGCTACCTAAGTGTTAGGTATTATTATTATTGTTGTTGTTGTTGTTGTTATTATCTTGTTTGGGGTCCATTTCTTTCCAGATGCACTCAACAAGCATTCATTTGGGACTGGCTAGATCGTGAAAATGAATAAAGATAGGCTTCCTACCCTGAAGGGGAATCATAGCCCAGTCACTTGCCCTTCCATAAAGAAGAGGCCCAAAGTATCAGCTGTTTAAGGATCAGTTCCGTTGAACTAAGATACGTGTGTTAACCTCCCAGAGCAGCAGGTCATTTGGTGGGTTCAAATTACAGGGTGCTTGAAATGACCGTGTGAAGGGGACTTGTAAGGCTTAAGACATCCCCCGACCCCCAGTAAATAGTAATTTTTGGGGGGTATGATAAACAGGTAAAACTTGGCAGCCTCTTAGTCGTTGCTCCTAGCCCCAGAGGGGCAGCTATTTATTATTCAGCACAGTTAACCACAAGCTTGACTTTGCTGTTCGAGGAGCTGACTGCCAAGTTTTTAGTTAATTCTGGGCCTGGTTGGAAAAGTACTGGTTTAATTCTGGGGCTTGCAGAAGCTGGGCTTTTTCACTCAAGCCAAGGCAATAGACAAACTCACAAGATGGATGAAGACAGCCAGATCTCATGACCTTGATTAAGGAAACCCTCAATTTGAGGAAATCACTTTATAGAAGTCTTGTGAGCTAATAGCCTTCTCAGCTTTGGCCTTGCACGGTATCAGAGTATGATGTTGTACCAAGTAGAGGGGGCTGGGGAGAAGAGGAAGAGTGGGAAAGGGAGGGAAGGAAAGGAAGGGAAGAGGTAAAGGAAGGAGGGGGAAGGAGGGAAAAAGTGAGTAGGGAAGGGGAATAGTGGGAGGGAGACGAAAGGACCTGGTTGGGGGTAGGTATTATATAACTCATATCTAGGGATGCAGGTTATGCGCTAAGGGAGAAGAGAGCTCCTGGCAAAAGGAAACTTGAATAGAAGAGTAAAGCCTGATGGATGAGTCCATTACCATTATATGGAGGGAATCAACGGAGTTAAAAGAATTAATACATATTTGTCTTTGCATCTCCAGCACCTAACACACTGTCTGGTGTAGAATGGGCACTTTTAACAAATATGTGGGGCAGCTAGGTGGTGCAGTGGATAGAGCACTGGCCTTGGAGTCAGGAGGACTTAAATTCAAATCCGGCCTCAGACACATACTACTTACTAGCAGTGTGACCCTGGGCAAATCACTCAACCCCATTGCCTAACTGCCTCCCCCCCAAACAAAACAAATATGTGATTCAATTGAACTGTCTTCCTCTGCAAGTATTTATCATTTCAATATACCTGAACTTCAGGGACTACATGGATAGGGGAAAGGGCACTGGATTAAATGCTAAGATTGGAGCTCTAGTTCTGGCTTTGCCACTAACTAGCTTAGGTACAGCACCTGTTCTTGCTGGGCCTTGGTTTCCTCATCTGATTCCTCAATCAATGAGGGGGTTGGACAAGATGATCTCTAAAGCACTTTCCAGTTCTGTAATTTTAGGTTTGTGTCTGATTTGAGAGTGAGGATGGGGAAAGAGTTAAGGGATGGTTTGGGAAAATTTCATGGGGCTTTAATGAAATGGGCACATATGTATTAAATATTTATTGAAGATGCTCACGACCTGCTTTCTAACATACAACTTCTCTTTTATGTTTTGGTCTAGTGCTTCTTCTCAGATGCTAAATCTTACTGGGCTAAGGATAAATAGGAAGGACATTTTCTTTCATTCATTGAGTTCACATAGCAATACCACCCGTCTTGTAATCCAGTGAGGGGGAGGCTTCTGTGTTTGCAAAAGCACTGACGTTATGAAGTTGGTAAATATGCTAGGAGAGGCCACAGATTCTGTCCTCCGAGGGGTCCGGTAAACTGGACATTCATAAAGCTTCTGTTTTATGAAGACGTCCTTGAGACTACCCATTGGAGTGGAAATCTTTGAAATGAGAAAAAAAAATCAAGCAGTCACATTGCATCATTCAGGGCAACTGAATGACATTTTTTCTTGGCTAGATTTGGGGGGTTTTGTTAATAACTCAGTGTAATGAGAGGCCAGATAGTAATGTATCTGATGTTGAGTATTATGACAGAAAACCAGATCATTTAAAATCATCATGACCATGGTTTTCTTTATAACAATATTAGCAGCTGTCACTTCTATAGTGCTTTATGGTTTGCAAAATGTTTTCATCACAACTCTGAGGTAGATAATGGAAGTATGATCATTCCCATTTTATAGGGAAAAAAGGATTTTTAGTGCATTAGCTAGGACCTGACTGGTTTCAATAATGCATACCCTGATGTAGTCACATGTATTTAAATTTGCATTGTAAGTTATAATTATGTAAAATATGGTATTTGGTTCTAGCCCAATGGATACATGAAGTACAAATTTAAATAATATTGACTACTTCAGGGGATTCATTATTTGAACTAATTGAGACCTGGCTATATTCCAGGGTTCCAGTGGATCTGCCGTCTTGCCAGTGGTACTGTTTACAACAGAGCAGATCACAGTGTAACCAGGCCTGCCTATACCAGGTGATTCTTGTCCATTTCCTCCCATAAATTTGCCAGAGGGGCAAGGGTATAGCAGTAAATATTTTAACAACTGGTTTGCCAGAGGAAAAATGTAGCTCAGGACACACTTTTATATTTAATCTGGATTATTAATATTTTCTCCATCAGTTTCTTGAATCTAGACAATCAACAAAATAAAAAATCAAGCTCTGATTTGTAGCTTTTGATAATTTCTGAAGTGTAAATGTTCACACTGAAAATTTAACTACTGGCTCTCTTCTGTCAATGGAGCTGGCTCCCGCAGGCCCTTGAGAGAGAGCCTTATTTTTTTTTTTTCTTCTCTTGACATCGTGAAGACTCTTTCTTGGCTTTTTGGCTAAGATCATGCATATGCCACTAACCAATGAAAGATAAATCACATTTAATGATCTCAGGAAATACATAACCAGTATCAAGTACATGTCATTGATGTCATAAGCGTCAATCATATATACACTTATAAATATTTATAAAATATATCTGGTTGACAGTAGTTATAAATATCAAGAAACATCAAGTACATAGGACCCTACAAAATAAATCTATATTGCTAATTCAGTTTATAAAATCATATCCTGTCTCCATCTATCTCTCGTCATCAGGACTATTATTGAGTTATCAAACTGTCTCACCTTGGTGATGTGTGCTATAAATATTTCAGTTCTACCTAATGGCATCACAGAGTCTTACTTAGTTGGCAGTGGCTCAGCTTGAATTTTCAACTTTGATAGTCTAGGCTCATAATCTGCAATCAATCTTCCAAGAACCCCCTCAATCAATAAACATTTATTGAAAACAGAGTTCCTTCTCTGTTCTTATCAGTGGAATTTCTGATATGTCCTCTATCTTTGGATTATCCCTTAAGTGGATTTTTTGTAAGAATGAACTGTAGTAATAAATGCTCATTCCACTTTGGACATCAGTCTAGTAGTGCTTGGTGCATAGTAGGTGCTTAATAAATATTTATTGACTGATTGATTAACTTGTAAACATCTGTTGAAAATAAAGTTTATTTTTTGAAACGATTTGTTCTTTTTCAGTTTTTAGCACTTATTTCCTAGAAAGAACAAATTTCTGCCTCGGAGTTGAATTTATTTCAGATTGGAGTGTTATTTTGAGCTGTGCTAATTTTTGAAAAAAATTTATTAGGTCATATGGCCCATGTATAGGTGGTTTGCATTTTTGCAGAGAGAAAGTTAGCTAACCTCTGGCTTCTGAGAATTTGTGATTTGGTGGTAAATGACTAAATATTTACCTTTTGAGGCAAAAAATGTATTTCTGGAAAATCAGAATATCTCTCTCGAGGCAGCGGGTCATCCAAATATTTTTCTTCTAGGTTCCATTTTGCTCCTTCCATATATAAACCAAAAATGATAACTCCAACGTTGTCACGTTTAATGTCCTGAAACCAAAAAAAGGTAACGTCAGTGAACTCAGGCATTCTTTTAATAAAAGCAGGAGCCTGGAAATAACTTGCATTTGGAAAGATGTCATCCAAAGCACTGTCAGGGAAAACTTTCAGTATAAACTGATGAACATGGTTACGATGAAATAGATTCCAGGGGTGTTCGGGAGCCAGCTTAAACCTACTTCCCCTCCATCCCAGAGCTGATAGTTAAATTTTCAGTGTGAGCATTTATATCTTGGGAGTTGGGAAACTACAAATCACGGCTTGTTTTATTGTTTTGTTGGTTATTTAGGCTTGAGAAACTGATAGAAAAATGTTAATAATGCTGATTAAATTTAAAAGTATGTCTTGTGTTTTTGTTTGTTTCTATGTTTCTCTTTTTCTTTCTCTCCCTCTCTTTTTCTTTTCTTTACTTCCTCCCTTTCTTCCCCCCTTTCTCTCCTTCCTCTATCTTTTTTCTTTTTCTTTCTTTCTTTCTTTCTTTCTTTTTCTTTCTTTCCTTCTTTCTTTCTTTCTCCAGTACAGCACTGAGTTGATTTTTACTTTACTTCATTTACTTCCCAAGGACTATTATTGCAGCATGGATTACAGTTGAGGAAACAGGAAAACTGAGGTTAAGTTACTTATTCTGAGTCACACAGCTAGTAAGTGTCTGAGGCTGGATATGATGTGGTATGTGTGTGGTATTGTGGAAGGGATCATTGGATGTGGAGACAGAGATCCTTGGTTCAAATTCTGGTTCTGCCTCTTGTAACTGGTGGGACCATGTGCAAATTACTTAACCTCTCAGGGCCTCAGTTTCCTTATCTGTAAAATGTAGGGGTTCTATGGATGCTTCCAGTCCAGCCCATGAACTGTGATTATATGAGCTCCTTGGAACATAACACTCCATTATTGCCCCTTCCTCTCTCCTTTCAACTCCAGACTTTGTCAGACTTGCGTAAAATAGGTCAATGTGTGAATCTGAGGCCACCTGAGCATTTGGTGTCTGGGAAAAAGCAGAACTAACTACCCCCTTCAAGTACCAGGATATTTTCCTGTCTTATATTTTCACAGACAGCTAGGTGGTGCAATGGATAGAGTGTCAACCTGGGAATCAGGAGGACCTGAGTTCAAATCTGCCCTTAGACCCTGGGTAAGTCACTTAACCCTTTTTGCTTCAGTTTCCTCATCTGACTTGACTAATCAATTTAGAGAAAGAGAAATCACATGAAAGCAAGCTCACATCAGTGATTTAGTCAAAACATCAACTCCCAGAGACTGTCCAACACTGAATTCATGCTTATCCCAATCTGCTATACCCCCTACATCTACAGCCACTATCCTCTACAAGATAAAGTCATATTTTCACGGGTAGCCCTGGCCCTCGAAGATCTGGTGAGGTCCAGGAAACTTGGTGTTGGATGCCAGGAAAAGGCAATCATATATTTACCAAAAAGATTAGCAATAAGATTTGAAATGGAACAAAAAGAGTTTCTGATGAATTTTCAAGCTGAGAATTAAATTACTGAAGCCCCTTATTCTGTCTTTGAGGATTTGGGATTGATCAAGGCTTGCTGCACCTAGAAGGGATCTGGATTGATAACACAGAGAGAGCCTTGGCAACAAGTCAGTGCTTTTCAGCTGGAGTGTTTTGGCAGAGATTCAGCCATAGAGAGATGGGTGGCAGGAAGGCCTGCTGAAGCTGGGAGGACGGGAGGGGTGTACCCGCAGTCTCCTCAGGGAGGGCCTCTGTGCCTACTCAGATAGAGCCTGTATTCATCAGCTACAACAAATTTATTGTTGCCAGCAGGTGGAGAAGCCTGGCTCTGAGTGAGACTTGATTTCCAAGTGAATGGTTGCATGAGGGCTGAAGTTTTTAAAAATCAAATCATGTTTCAACTATAGAAGGGAAATCCTACTGGGATTCATTTTTCAAAGTAAAGAATCATTTTGCAAAAAGAAGGAAGGAAAGAAGGAAACATTTATTAATTGTTTTTGCCATTAATTGTATTTATCATGTGCCAGGAACTATGCTAAGTGCTTTACAAATATCTCATCTGATCTTCACAACGACGCTGGGAGGCTCATGCTATAATGATCCCCATTTTACAGTTGAGGAAACTGAGGCACACTGAAGTTGAGTGACTTGCTTAGAGTCACATATCTTGTAAGTGTAATAGAGTTATGCAACTGAGGCTGGATTTGAACTGGTGTCTTCCTGACTTTGGGCCCAATGGATCATAATTCCCTTCTCAATTTTATTTTTGTGAATCTAAGTTTTAAAATAATTCTTTGCTTTAAGTGAGGCTGGGCAGCTAGGTGGTGCAGTGGATAGAGTGCCTGGAGTCAGGAAGACCTGAGTTAAAATTTGGCCTCAGACACTTGGAAGCTGTGTGACTCTGGGCAAGTCACTTAACTTTGTTTGCCTCAGTCTCCTCATCTGTAAAGTGATCTGGAGAAGGAAATGACAAACCACTCCAGTATCTTTGCCAAGAAATTCCCCAAACCGGGTCACAAAGAGTTGGACAGGACTCAACAACAACAACAACAAGCATATCCACTATCTTTTGATGTACATATCCTAGGACAGAGGTGACCCAGCAACTCCACAAGCGTGAAGGCTCCATCTCCCTATGCCTGTCACAGGCTCCTCCGGCTGAGTCTCTGTGGCCCCCCAAGTCACCAGCTCCTGGGCTGGACTGGAAGCCTCTATAGAGGCCGTCTAGTAGAACCCCTACATTTTACAGATACCAGGCTCCTCCGATGAGCAGCCTCTTCCAACACCCCGAGGCTGGCCCTCAGCCGGACCGTGCTAGTGAGGCACTCCAACGGGAGTGGAGTCACCTCCAGGCCATGGTGAAACAATGGCAGTAGGACGGGAGTGGATTTCTGAGAATACAAGGTCGTCTTACAAAACCAGTCTCCTAAGAGAATCGTACATCTGCCATCAGGATATAGATAGGTATATGTGTATGGATTTACACACACACACACACACACACACACACACACACACACCCCTCTCCTAAATATACTTATTCGCTGTTTATGGAACCCGAGACCCAGACACTCTTGCTACTGGGCATCGGCTGTTTTGCCATGCCGGTCCCCTTCTCCCACTGGTGAATTCCTTCCAGGATGGGCATGTTCAGCTGTCCTTTTGACTCTCTCCCAGACTTGCCTTTGACTCTGTCATCATGTCCTCCTCACATGTACCTTCTTATCCACTTCCCCCTTCCCACTCCAAATTCACTCTTCTCAACTCTGGGCAGGGACACCTTTTTTCCCCTCGTTTTCCTATCTTCAAGCTTAAGCACTTTGCCTGGCATACAGTAAGTGCTTAATAAATGCTCACTGCCTGCCTTTGGGACCAAAGCCTCCCACATCATGCCTCAGACACCAGGCTCTTGCCTCCAAGATCCATCTCAGTAAGAAAGACTCAGATACCAGAACTCTAGTTGGTGCAAGAAATGCTACCCATACCAGATCCAATCTCAGAGAACTGTGATTTAAAATAAAAGTAGCTAGCATTTGTTAAGCGTCTACTATGTGCCAGCACCTACTGTGCTAAGTGTTTTATAATTGTTATTTCATCCTCACAATAATCCTGGGAGCTAAGTGCTGCGGTTATTCCCATTTGACAGATGAGGAAAGTGAGGCAAAGAGGGGTTAAGTGACTTGCCCAGTGTTACACAGCTAGTAAGTATCTGAGGCTGGATTTGAACTTGGGTCTTCCTGATTCCAGGCCCAGCATTATATCTATTGTGCCACTCCTGAGGTTGAGAGCCTCAGTTAAAATCTATTACATGTCCATCTTATGGCTATCAAACTCCCACCTTCTTTCCTAATGCCATTGATGCAGAATAGCTGTCTGCCTAAGCAAAAGCCACCTCTTTCCCTTGCTATTGCTCTTTATTTTTCCTCCTCACATAGTCTTTGGCCCCAATCTCCCAAGTCCCCAGGTCAGCCCTCTCCACTCCTTCCATTTTGTGCTCTAAAACTCATGTTGTATCATGAATAATTGTCCTTTCATGTTAGATCATTTCTTCTTGGCATTCCTTCTGTTTTCTGGCCCTCACAACTTTCCTCAGAAGACACCATATTCTTGACCACCCTCTCCAGTATTAGATGTGTCTCCTCCCATACCTCCCCCCTTTACTAGACCAAGAAGATAACATTTTATCCCTGCCCCCTCCACATTCCTTATTGCCCTCACTCATCAAATTCTCTTTTGAGGCTCTCTATCCAGACATATGACTTTATCCAGATCCTGGTAGCAATTATCCACTGGCCCCAGTTCATTATTCCCCTTTTCTTGAGGAATTCAGAATGTGGTTCACATGTCTTATTCAACCCCACCTTTTCACTTAAAACTTAGGGATTTTAATGTATACAGTAATGTTTTCTCAAACGTCTTCAATTTCATCAACATCCTCAATTCCCATGATCTGAATCTTTACCCTCCCTCTCATCACAGGGATGGTTACACCTTTGATCTCACTATCCCCACAAGCTTTCACAGACTTACAGCATTGGACCTCAAATGACATCTAGTCCAACCTCAATATATGTAAGGAATCCCTACTATATAACATTTCCAATGAGTGGTTGTCCAACTTCTATTTGGAGATGTCCAAGGAGGGGGAACCCAGGACCTCTTGAGGCAGCTCATCCTACTTGTGGACAGCTCCAGTTGTTAGGAAGTGTCTTCTGACATTGAGCCTAAACTTTCCTATTTATAACGTCTACTAATTGCTCCTGGTTCTGCCCTCTGGAGTCATATTGGCAAGTCCAGTACCATTTACCTGTGATAGCCCTTCAACTGTTAGAAGACAGCTATAATTTCCCTCCCGAGTCCCTCTTCTCCAGGCTCTACTTCCACAATCAAAAACTCTGAAATTATTTTATCTGTCACCTTCTAACCATCCATCTCTCCCTGCCCCTCACTCTAAAACATATTATTCATCCTCATCCTTATCATTCAGTTTCTTCAACCCTCAGGGCTTTCCTAAGCCATGTAGCACTTCCACTCTGGTTTCCCTCCTTTCTTCCCTGTCCAATCTATAATTAAACAGCTTAATTATATACTGTCTTTTAATCCCAAATCCTTTGCCCTATTATCTAATCACTGTTCATGCTTTGCCAGACTCCAACCCTGGAATACCCCCACCTGTTCCGCTACTGGCAATTAGGAGGATGTGAAAATGCCTTATGTAGTAGGTAGAACTTAAGCTAAGCTTAGAAGGAAGCTATGAAGAAGAAGTTACAAAACACATTCCAGGTATGGGGGACAGTCTGTGCAAAGGCATGGAGGTGGGAAATGAATAACATAAAAAGAATATCACATAGGTCAAGTTGGTTGGAATGTAGAATGTATGAAGGATAATAATATGTTGTAAACCTAAAAAGGTAGAAGCTACACTGTGAAGGGGTTTAAATACCAAACAAAAGAATTTTTATTTATCCTATAAGGCAACTGACTTAGTCTACTTCAAATTTTTGTTGTGTAATCTCAGTTGGGCTCTTACTCACGTGGTCTGCTCTTTTACTCTAGCCTATAATGAAAGGTAATTCTTCTTCCTGTTGACAAGTCCAATTCCTGTATTACAACTCCTGATCCCATCCCCTCCATGACCATCCATTACCTCCCTAATCTTTAATCTTTCCCTATATACTGGATCTTTCCCAACTGCCTAGAAATATGCCCAGACCTCCTCCACACTTAAAAACCTTCATGTGATTCTACCATCCCATCAAGCTATCCTCTATTTCTTCTCCAATTCGTATGCAAACTCCTAAAAAAAGTCATTTACATTCATTGCTTCTTCTTCTCTCCCCTTACTTCCAGGGATTGATTTCATTTCCAACAGATGGTATATCCACTAAGCTGGAAAGAGGGATGGAGAGAAAGCGACAATCTATTATATGATTTATGAGTTGAATCTTTGAAAATAACCAACTATCTCATTACCTTAAATGCTTTCTTCAGCATGTACTCTCTAAATGGGAGACTTCTAGAGAGTGTTTCATTCTGGGGGTCACTGATTACATGATGACTAAAACTAACAGAGTTTACAGAGATTTTTTTGGATCTTGCATAATTCTGCAGCACAGCCGTAAAGAAACCTGCGGTATTAAAACAGATAACAGTAATCAATCAACTCACCCAATATTTTATTAAGTGTATTATTATTAATATGTACCAGAGAGGAGAGACGAGGGATAAGGGACTGATCTTACTTCCCTAATTACTCTTCCAAGATGAGTGTATTTGTGCTCCTTGTTTGCCTGTTTGATTAAATGTGTCTCTGTGTCTACCTTTCCTTTTTCTTGCTAGTTCCTGTCTCAGAATAGGAGGAGATCAATCCATGTTACATACAAAGATATGGGCTTAGGCCTAAGCTAATTCCCCAAGTCACCTAAACATTCAGAGGTGAAGAATAGTCCATTTTCAGAACTGTTATGACCTATGACGGATGGTCAAGCTGCTGCTGTTGATAGATTTTATAATCTTGCTAATAAAATTAGTTATTAGTGTAACTCTTTGACAGGATGCCAGTGGTGCGATGGGCCTGGAGTTGCCATTTGGGGTATTTTTCCTACTCAAACAGCTCAGAAGACTAACTGCAATTCCATACCTATAAGCATAACAGTTTCATACTCCACAGGTTTAATTAGACCTGGTAAAGCAGAAACAGATACTAGCAAGTTGATAACCAAATTGAGTAGGGGTGATAGAAAGAAAGTGCCTAGTTTCCCTTCATGACTTCAGGTCACCAGGCCTAGACATAGCACACAAATACAACTGGTAGATGTGATGGTTAAGCCACTGTCAATGATATCTGAAAAATCCAAAGGCCTCCATCGCTTAGGATTGGAAAAGAGCAAATATCTCAATTTCAGAATGGAAAGAGAAATGCCAACCAGAAGCCAGTGAGCCTTTGATTTCCAGTAATATCCTAAAATGTGTCATTAAAGGGATGGTTAATGAGCATCTAGAAAGAAAAGCCGTGATCAGGGGGCAGCTAGGTGGCACAGTGGATAGAGCACCGGCCCTGAAGTCAGGAGGACCTGAGTTCAAATGCGGCCTCAGACACATAACACTCACTAGCTGTGTGACTCTGGGCAAGTCATTTAGCCCCACTAAAGCCTCACTAAAAAAAAAAAAAAGGCAGTGATCACAGAAGCCAGCATAACTTCATCAAGAACTGATACTGGTATCATCTCTTGTTCTCTGCTCCTTTACTCTAGCCTGTAATGAAAGGTGATCCTTTATCCTGTTGACAAGCCCAGTTCCTGTATTAGAACTCTTGATCCCATCCCCTCCATGACCATCCACTGCCTTTATAATCTTCAATCTTTCCCTATATACTGAATCTTTCCCAACTACCTAGAAATATGCCCAGACCTCCTTCACCCTTAAAAACTGTCATGTGATCCTATCATTCCATCAGGCTATCCTCTATTTCTTCTCCAATTCATATGCAAACTGTTCTTTGGCTCACGTAAACTTTGTGTTCAACTTTTTAGCACAGAATTGAATCTGGTTCTCAAACTATGCATTCCTCATAACTACACTTGCACCGGTGTAGGTTAAGGGTCTTCATTATAACATCATAGATTTAGAGCTGGAAGAATTTTGGAGATCTAGTCTACTCCTTCATTTTACAGATGAGGAAACTGAGGCTCAGAAGAGTTAAGTGACTTACCCAAGGTCACACAGGTATTAAGAAGAAGATTAAGATTGGAATTCAGGTTTGCATCCAGTGTTTTCCCACTCTACCAAAGTATTTTCCTTACCTTTTGTTACTACAGTTAATACGGGAGAGAGGCATTTTTGAACTTTCCTCTCTTCCCCAAGTTCTAGCAGCTTTTTCAGGGAGTGCTTGGTAGTGTACTATTTGCCTTGGTAAAGAGCAGTCACAGAGGGCAGGGAAACATTTCTAACTGGGAGATAGAAGAGTATTGATAATGCAGTAATACTCTCGGCATTGTTGACCTGGAGCATAGCTTTTCATTCTGGGTGCTATATTTTTTTTCTTTTACAAAGGAATATTTGCTTCAAAGACATAGCAACAATAAACACACAAACATTTCCCACCAATATCTCTAAGACATTAGATATCGATAAACTGGAGAGGTGAAAAGCTTCCTGGCTGCTGGGGAAATTTATAATTTCCAAATGCAGCAGAAGAGAGCCACTGAGGTAACAATGATAATAGCTAGTGTTTCAATAGCACCTACTATGTGCCAGGTACTATGCTAAGTGTTTTATAAATATTATCTCATTAGCTCCTCACAACCACCCTGGAAGGTAGGTGTTAATATTATTTCTTTTACAGTTAAGGAAACTGAGGCAAAAAGAGTTGAAGTGACTTGTCCAGGGTCACAAAACTAGTAAGTTGTCTGTGGCTAAATTTGAACTCAGGCCTTCCTGACTCCAGGCCCAATGCGCTAACCACTGGGCCTTCTAGCTGCCTCTAGCAAACATACAAAAAGACAAAACAAGCTCCGGGATGACAGAATCTTAAAGTTATATGCCCTTACAAATATGTGCCAAGTGAAAATTCCATCAATCCTTTCAGCAAATACACACACCCCTACCAGCTAAAATAACTCAATCACTTTTGAAATCAATAAAGACAATATGTTTTACATTTAGTGATTCTAAATGATTGGTAAGTGAGAGACAGGACAACTGGCATATGGGGTACAAGGAGCATTCTATATGAATACCTGGCTTTGGATGCTCAGTTCAACCACAACAGACATTTATTAGCCTCCTGCTAGGGGCAAGGCTCTTCACTAGTCACTGAAAATGAACAGAAAAATGCAAAATAGCCACTGTCCTCATGAAGCTCTTGTTCTGTTGAACTGGTTTGTTACTAGTTGAGTTCCTTGTGACTTCCCTTTCTTGTTTTTATTTTGGTGGCTCTGTGGCCTCATTTATGCAGGTAATCCTTCTACTAGAGAATCCTGGAAGAGGGAACGCTTACATAAATGCCATCTTCTCAATCTCTCCGTGAACTCTCATCCTATGTGATTTTCATCCATGTCATTTCATAAATTCTTCATAGGGGAGGAGTTCTTAATCTGGGGGGCATGGACCCTCAAGATTCTCATGGATAGATTTCAGGGTGAACTTGAATGGGGAAAAATAAATTAAAACTTTATTTTTACCCTCACCTAAGTGAAATTTAGCATTTCTTATAAATTTTTAAAATTTATTTTCCAATTATATTTTTTAACAATTTTTCATGTTCATTTTTAAAAATTTTGAGTTCCAAATTTTTCCTCCCTTCTGCCCTTCCCCTTGCCCTTGAGAAGGCAAGCAATATGATATCAATTGTATATATGAAGTTATGCAAAGTATATTTCCATTATTAGCCATGGCTGCAAAAGAAAACACACACACAAACTCCAAGAAAAAGAAAGTGAAAAAACATGCTTCAGAGTTCATCAGTTCTCCCTCTGGAGGTGGATAGGGTTTTCATCATGGGTCCTTCGGAGTTGTCTTGAATTACTGACTTGATCGGAGTAGCTAAGCCTTTCACCATTGATCATTGTTACAATATTACTGTTACTGTATACAATGTTCTCTTGGTTCTGCTCCCTTCACTTTGCATCAGTTCAGGTTTTTCTGAAATCATTTTTTATAGCACAACAATATTCCATCACAATCACATACCACAACTTGTTGGCCTTTCCTGTAGTGATGAATGAATGAAGGAGGGGGGTTCATAGAGTTCACGAGACTGCTCGTGAGGCTCACGACACACAGAAGTTGAGAGCTTCTACCAAAAGAGATTTTTCTCAATGTGCTGAAAGCCAACCTCTGGTTCCTAGACTCTTGGGTTAGTTGCTCTCTCTTTCTATTGTCTCTCATCCTCAGTTTCCTCAGCCTTTTCGGCTATTCCTCTTGTGGAAGTTTCATTGGTTAACAAGCTGCAGCCTGCTTATTCCCTCTTCCTCCTTATGCATTCCCCCCCACCCCACCTCTGCTCATCAGCCTCTCCTAGGGGCCTAAGCACAAGGCCAGTGTCCAAGGGCCCTAAGATTCTGGTGTTCATTGCCACCCTTCTGAAAAAGAGCAATGATTCTGGGTTAGTCTATAGCTGATTTTGCAAGTGCCCAGCAATTCTTGTGGAGTGGCCCAGCAGTGATTAAGTTAAAAGATGGGTAGTTGGAAGAACAGCAGAGAAGTGAGATTTCTCTGTGTGTCAAAGAGCAGGCTGTCACCTAGTACTGGAGTCATTCCTGTGATTGCACAAACTCATCAATTTTAACAGGGACGGGCCTGGGTTACAGCACCCACATATCATCCTATTTCTTTTCTGCTCATTGTAGCTAAATTCCTCAAAAAGGCTGTCTGTGATAACTGACTTTCTCTCCTCTTACTCTCTTCTTAACCCCTTACAGGGGAAGGGAGCAAGCATTTATATAGCACCTACTATGTGACAGGCACTGTACTAAATACTTTACAAATATTATCTGATTCTGTCCTCGCAACAACCCTGGTAGGTAGCTGCTTTATTATTCCCATTTTACAGTTGAGGAAACTGAAGCAAACAGAAGTTAAAGTACTTTTCCAGAGTCACACAGCTAGTAAGCATGTGAGACTACATTTGAACTCGTCTTCCTGATCCTAGACCCAGCACTCTACATGCTATGCCACTTAATAGGCACCTATTATGTGACAGGCACTGTGCTATAAACTCTAGGGAAACAAAGACAAAACCAAAACAGTTCTTGCTCTCAAGGAGCTTACATTTTAATGTGGAAACAGCATGCACATACATAGGTGTATATAAAACAGATACAAGGCGACCTAGCATACAGAGACGTACTAGAAGCTTGGGGGACCTCATGAAGAAAGTGGTGCTTGAGCTGAATTTAAAGAAAGCCAGAAATTTGAGATTCACCTTAGCTTCCCCAGACCCTGGCAGAGGGACAGAGTGGGAATAGTGACAGTCCTACTGACAATCCTCTGTCTTCCAAGGCATCTTCCTGCTTTTGGAACCTGGGGACCATGATCAGTTCTCTTTTAGAGAATCTTTGAAGCTACTTGAGCCCTGGGCACCAGCACTACCAGGGAGCCTACTTTCCATGCCCACTCTCACCATGCTGTTATTGTCTAGATACAGCTCTTCTCCTGCCCCCTTCTTTAGAGGATATAAGTACTATCAGCTATTCTTGAAATTCCTGCTCTTGGGATAGTTTTTTTTTAAACCCTTCAGGAAGATTCTTGCTCAGAGACAAAGCCAATGTCACAATGACCTAGTTAGGCTTCTAATCCTTTGCCATTAGAAACTCATTCTTTGGGTTTAGGGATTGGACCTCCAGGATTCTCCTTTTAAAATGAAATTACTCTTGGGTAGAGTAGTCCAAGAAACCATTATCAGCAAAGAATCCATGAACATGAATGACTGGATGCCAACTAGTGTAGAGAGTCCCGGAAGGATTAGGGTATTAGGTTGGTTTGAAAGAAAAGATAGAGAAGTGAAGTGAGAAGGTGATTAGAATATTAGGTTGGTTTGAAAGGAAAAGTAGAAAGGTGAGGTGGTAAGGAGTTGTTTGGAGAATGGGGGGGGTAAGTGAGTGAGGATCAGAAGAGGATAGGCTTAGATGGGGAATATAGATGAGGGGGAAATTGAGTGCCAAAAGAGGTTGTGTAAGGGCACCCAAGACCAAGTGTCAACTTGACAATTTCACCAAGGGCAAGCCCCAGGTTCCTACCTTGTGGGAAGAAGAAAGTTGGAAGCCAGAATCGGGTGGGAAAGGAGTTAGCAGGATCTGCCTCTTTTTCATTATCTTTCTCTTCATATTTTTTTGTTTGACTTGGAAAGTAATGCTTCCAAGTTGTAGTCATTTTGGTATATCTGAAAGTAGACATAGAAAAGGCTTTGAGATGGCTGATGCCATAAAATCTTTCTTAAATTTATAAGATCTCAACTGAATTGATTAATTTTTATTCAGTCAATGCTGAAAAGATACTATTTGCACTATGTATATACTGGTGGGTGTTGGGGAGTTTAGATAAGGCCTTGTCTCTGTTCTTATGGAGCTTGCAGAAAAGTAGGAGAGTATGATGGAAACATAGACAAGTATAAGACAAAATAGTACATGATAAGTGCACTGGAGAGGTCCTAAACAGAATCCTTTCCTATTAGAACATGAACATCCTGAGGGAAGGGATTAATTTTGTCTCGTTATTCCTAGCACCTAGCACACATTGTATGACATATAGAAAATGCTTAATAATGCTTCTTTAACTCTTCCAACTCTTTCCAACCTTTTCTTGATTCTTTTCCCTTTTATTTTAGTATCTAGTGCAATCCAGGCTTCCTATCCTTTACCTTCAGAGAGGCAAACCATGGACAACTCTGAAACTTATGAAAGAAAAGGAGTAGCTATGGGGTTGTGAAGAGAATTTTCTGTGCATGAATCCACTACAAAAACTAATCAGTAGCCATCTCTATCTCTGCCTCTAGGGACTTTCTTTGTTGGGGTTTCATTCTGTAGAAGGGGATTTAGGTAGTGACCATTACATTGGGTTTAGAAGAGTTTGAATATTTGCAACTTAAATCGGGGTGATTATAAACCACTTTCACTCCAGGTTATGAATCTGAGAATAGGAAGATGAACTTACAGTGACAGAAAGCTTGCAAAGGAGCAATATTTCTAAAGAATTACCTTGGCTTCATAGACTCAAGTGTCACTTTTTGCAGGAGACTTTTCTCAGTTCTCCCAGTTACTGGTGCCTTCCTTCCAAGGTTACCTCTTCTCTGTATGTATCTTATATACATCTGCTTACATATACATACATATATGCATATATATATATAATGTATAAGCATAAACACACATATATACATGTATACACAATATATTATATCCGTGATTAGAATGTAAATTTCCTGAGGGCAGGGACTCTTTTTGCTTTTGCTTTGTAACTCCAGTATTTAGCACAGTGCTTGGCACATAGTAAGTGTTTAGTAAATGAATACTTGTTGATTGACTGATGGGAAGATACCAGAGTCATTGTATCCTACAGGCACACAATGTTTATATGTTGTTACACAGAAACACAAACCAAAGGGCATACAAATCAAACTTTTAGGTCCTATCAGGTCCAGGAACTTGCTTGGCTGGTCTGACCCAGAGCAAGCAGGACTACTAAAAATATCCAAAAGAGGAGGACTCAAATTACTCTCAGAAACCAGGCACAAAGGTACCTTGGATTCACTTCTGGTCTCTATTATTGTATCTGTACAACAGTGGCACGAGAGTGGAGATGATATTTATCATCTCCTCCAGTTACTTTTCTTCCCCCATCCTAGTTTCTCAGCTGGGGTCTCTGAGCATTATCCTTCCCATACTCACTCAATTCTAATAATAATAACAACAGCAACAATGATGACAATAGCTAGCATTTACATAGTGCTTTGAGGCTGGCAAAGCCCCTTACATGGTCACTCAATTGATCACCACAACAATTCTGTAAGGTAGGTGCTATTATATAGCTGAGGAAACTGAGGAGCAGAGAAGTTAAGTGATTTGCTCAGGGACTTGTAAGCAATTGAGGCAGGCTTCAAACTCATATGCAGAAATTTTGCATAATCCCAGACAGTACCTCACAACCTCTCTACTATTTAATTGGGTTAATGCAAACTGTGGGAATTTAAAACAGTTAGAGGTGGTGGGAATTGGGTGAACCACACTGACTCCATTTTGTGACTCAATTCTGGAGCTAGCTCAGTTCCCTTTGTATTCAATTATGACTGTAGTCCAGCTTCTGTCTTGTGAGAAAACTTTATTCAATTGTGGGGATTGTGAAAAAACATTATTGCATTGTTTGAACCTAGCCCTGCATTTGAACCTCTATGTGCTGATTAGAGACCCTTAGCTCAGGACCTCGGTTATGCCGACCAGAATCCCAGGCAGATCCAAAGATTGATGCAAGAAGTTTTTTCACAGTTGTACATCTCAAGCAACCCACGTATCTGAAAACTGGACCCATACTGTTAGCTTTACCACAAATTCCACAAAGCCATGGTTGAACCAGGAAGAGGCTCTATTAACGGCCTGGGAAGGCTGGGAGTCCCACATGTGAGAACACATGTGTCTATAGATACACACCTTTTTATTCCCTATTTCTGATAAGAATTTCCCTCTTCTGTTTCCCCCTTGGCTGGGTACTGTAGAGGTTACAACCTATCTGAAGCACCGAATTTCCCCATGTGAGTCTCTGCCCCTGCTTATATCTCCCACTCCCCATAATTTGGCCACCTGGCCCTTATTTACTTTTGCCCTTATTTAGGTATGCCCATACCTCTTTTGCTTAGGATACGGATATGTTAATCTATACCTAACCTCAGAACTGGTTTTTGCTGGTTAGTCTATTCACTCACCAATTCTACTTTATGGCTTCCTTTGTTCAACTTCCACCTAGCCCTTAGATTGCATTCTTGTGGAAATGAAAACTAGCACTTCTCACATTCCCTCCCAGTTTAAACTGACTCCAATGTTGTCACATAGGCGTCCACCCCCTGATGAGAAGCAATATTCCCAATACTGGTCAATCAGTTATTGTTTCCATTTTCCTTTGAGGGAATACAGACACTTTGGGGGTGGGTGGGTGGGACACCTCTTTTTCTGATTTCAGGAAACTGGACCTGTTCGCTCCCCCTTCCCAACTCAGAAAATCCCTAATCTTTCCTCCAATTAGAAATCAGATTACCTAATTTTGTATCCTGGTTAATTGTTTTCTTTTAATTAATTGGTCTTATTTGATTGTTTTTAATGCATAAAAATCTGTCTCCCCTTGTATTGGAGTCCAGTACCAAAGCTGAAGAGAGAAGCCTGGTCCCAATTTGTTTTGCAATTGGCATCAATTGCTTAATAAATTGATATGCTTGGAAGCTCAAACCTTTGTTTCCTCAGTCATTTCATCTTTCACCTGTCATAAAACCTTAAAGTGCTATATAAATGTTACCTACTTTTTATCATTTAAAAAGTAACATCTTTATATCTTTTTTGTTTTATATTATCTTTATATCACTTATTTATAATATCTTCTACATATGTGTATTTTAAAAATTTTTTGCGAAACAGGATGGCTGTCTTGGAGGAAGGCAGGGCAGGCAGTCAGGGGAAATTCTAGGTGATGTAGAGACAATATATTAAATTAAAACAAAATTTAAAAATTAAAATCAAATTAAAAATTAAACAAAAATTTTAAAAATTAAAAATAAAAAGGTAATGAAATAAAATTAAAAATTAAGCAAAAATAAAAATGAAAATGAAAAATGAAAAAAAGATATATGACAAGCAGTGTGGTATAGTGAATAGGGAATTGGTCTTGGAGCCAAGAAGACCTGGGTCTAAGGACCATCTACGATAAATACTGGCTGTATGATGCTGATCGAGTCACTTTAGCTCTATGTGCTTGTCGACCTTCTAAGACTAAAAGTAATAGAAAAGGCTTCAAGGTGCATCAATTCAGAGAGTCTCCTTACCTGGGAGTTCCCTTTAGGAATAAACACATAGGACCAGTCCCTAACCCTAATAAAGAGATATGCTGCAATTATTATGTTATACTTCTATTAATCCAGCTATTTTGATTATAGAAGTCTATCTTTATTATACTCTTTTGACTTTTGGAAAGTTTTAAGGTAGATAAACTTGTAATTTTAGGTTTCTGCACTCAGAAGGAGTTTGGATCATTAAAAAAAAAATGCTTTTGTTTCTCCAGTTTTTCTTTAAAGATCTTGCCAAATCTTGTTTTGAGTAATAAGATACTCCAGTGCCCTCAGCTGCATAGAAGGATATTCAGAAAGGTGAGCTAGATATGCCTGCCTTACTTTCCTGGTGGAGGACCACAATGCTTACTGAATGCCTGCTCAAAATATAGGTCTCCATTCCTCTAAATCGGCATTAGCCTAGATTTGAAAAAAATTCAGATGCCAGAGATGTGCATTTCAACAAGTGCTTTCCAGCTAATCTGCTACCCGTACCGAAAATATATAGCGTCGTAGGCCAGTTTTGCCCAGCTGTCGATGAATGCCAGTCGTTGCAGAAGAAAGGTGATCCAGTCAGACAACACCTTTCCAGTATCATAAGAAGCTCGCTGTTGGGATTGAGAGACAGACACATGAGATTATTATTATTTTTTTTTGAAAGAATGACTTCTAAGATCACTATTTCATTGCAAACTCTAATAATGGACTCTAGGGTCAGACAGTAGAGTAGCCAGGAAGATCTGAGTTCAAATTCATCCTTAGGCACTTACTAGCTGCGTGACCCTAGGCAAGTCACTTTGATGAGGGTTTCATTTAGTTTCAGAAGCTGAGATCTTTGTCCCTTTTCCCTTTGCCCTTTTTCGCCAAAAAGGAATTTGGCTCCCATTTGTTGAAAACCCTTAAATTTTTAGATTCCCCTTACCTCCCTTCCAAAGCCTTGGCCTCGCCTTTTGATATGCATCTTTCCTCCCTAGCCCTGAAAAGAACCTGGCTTCAGTTTGTCTTCCGGTCCCAGAAAAACCTTAGAGTTTTAGAAACTGCCTTCATTTCCCTTTGAAAGCTCTCTTTATCTCTCTTTGAAAGCCTTAGCCTTACCTTTTAATCTTATTCAAATGCACCTTTGCCCCTAGCCCTAAAAAGAAGTTTGTCTATGGTCCCAGGTCCCTTTGAAAGAAAACTTCTACCTTCCACCTCCCTTCATCATCTATTCTCATTGTTTATTGAAATCTCTCAGACCTTCCAAAGGGAATTCTCACCTGGACCCTTTTTCCCAACCACATCCCCTCATCAACTGGCCTTTCATTGTGGCTACACCCAATCTCCCCTCCATTGTTTTACCTTCCTGTGGCCCCTGGCCATTTCCCACCCTCAATCCTAGCTAGGCACCATGAGGTCCAGGACCCAGGAGTTCTGTTCACCCCAGCCTACTAGCCACTCCCATCCAGACCTCCTTAGGCCCTTCCTCCCATCACCCCAAACTACTTGGCCACTCCTAGATCCCTCCCACAGTCTTTCTGTACTTAAGATCCACCTTAGCCCCCATTCAGATGCTTAGCTTTTCTCATGCCCAAAAGACTGAGACTGTCTCATGCCTGCTCGTCCTCATGGGTGTCACTGAGGTTTGGGTTCCTTGGGAGTCTGGCCTATATACTTTATCTTTAATAAACTCTCTCTCTGGCTGGAAGAAGATTTGGTTGAATTCATTCAGGCAGACTTGGCACCACGATCTTGGGGTGCCTCTGCACATAGGAGCACCCCAAAACCTCTAAACCTCTTCAACTTAACCCTGTTTATTTTAGTTCCTCATATGTAAAATGAGCTGGAAAAGGAGATGGCAAATCACTCCAATATCTTTGCCAGGGGTTACAAAGAGTCAGACTTGACTGAACTGACTGAATAGCAAAAACCCCAGGGTACTCCTCTCCTCTGACTTATCTAAAAAGGGAGTTAGTTAAATGGATAGTAGATGGAGAGGGTTTAGGATGGAGAGGGCTGCCTAGTAACCCATGACCCTTTTGGCCTCTGAACTGCTTATGGAGGCAGCTGTGAAGATGGCTGGGCCAGGCAGGGTGGCCCATGATAAGCTGAGTTGGCTGCCTAAGCCTATGGGATTCTGGAGCAGGGCCCACCCCTGGACTGAACCTAACTGGCGGCATTGATTACAAACAGAGACTGCTTAGATTCTTCCTCTCCTCTTTACCGTCAACCCCCTGATAATTCAATAAATATAGTAGACCTAACCCAGCTGATAGTGTTAGGTTTTATTATTGTTTATATTTTATAGGTGGGCTTAGAGAAGTAACTATGCCCAGGTTTATAATACTAGTAGGTTTCAGAGGTTCTCTGACTCTGAGTCCAGTTTGGGCTTGGCAGCTTCTTCTCACCACACTCACAGAGTCATAGAATGTTATAGCTGGAAGAAAATCTTAGCCATCACCAGGTTCAACCTCTCATTTTACAGATGAGGAAACTGGAGTCTGGAGAGGTAAAGGCATTTGGCAAAAGTTGCAAAGCTTTTTCTGAGAATGTCCACTGCTCCCCTGCCTTGCTGCCACCAATAAGATGCTATAATTGCTTTTTACCTTATTAGAAATAACTTTTCACTTCAGGAGACTGGATGTCAACTACAGTTTTCCCAGTCTCTTTTTAGTCATAATTGGCCCATCCCACTAACCATTACTCTAAAACAAGAAAGAGATTCTCTACTGTGACGAGTGGTGAGTGTTTATGGTTGTCCAGGGACAACCAGGGACAACTGCTTAATTGTTTAAGTCAGTGGTGTCAAACTCAAATACAAATGAGGACCACTAAACCATAAATTAGGATCCTTCAGGCTGCATATCGACGTAGAAAATCACATATTAATATTATCTATGTTCCCTTGTATTTTTTTGTTAAATATTTTCAAATTACATTTTAATCTGGTTTGAAGCACACTAGGGAATGTTTGATCCAAGTCACTGAGGAGAATAATAATGTGTCCAAAAGTATATTGGATGAAGACTAAGGGGAAGGGCTGAAAAAGTGTTTTAACTCATTGGTTATTAAGTAATTTAAAATAAATTGTTATTGAGCAAGCCTAACTATATTGATTTTAATGTTAATAAAATATTTACTTAAAAAAAGATATTATTGCATGACACAAGACCTATCCTAATCATATTAAGCATCTTTCCAGAGTTGGCACAAACTTGATTTCACAGAAAGGTCAATTTGTTGATTAAAAGTCAAGTGTTGACCTGCAAAAGAACATTGATTTCATTTACATATCTTTGATCCAAAGTTCTAAATTGAAAACTACGTGCCCCTTACCTGCCATAAGTCAGGTACTTTGTTATTAATGAGACAATCATAGATCTCTTCCAGTTTCTGGTTGATGGTGGTTTCACCTCTGACAGCTCCCTGGAGTTCTTTCAGTGACTGGTGGATTAGGGATAGTAATTTATCAAATCGACCAATTTCTTGACAAAGGAATGTTAACAAGGCAGAATGGAGGAGGGGATCATAATCTGGTTTAAAAAAAAAAAAGAGGAGGCAACGATATAATGTCCCAGAGAGAAAGAAAGAGGCTGCAGACAGAGTGGTGTTTGAAGCTAATGCAATCTGACTAGGCTCATCAAGGTAAGTGTTTTTAATAGATCTTAAAAAGAATTTAAATGAGAGACAAGCCACTATGAACAGCAGGACAGCTGAACATTTAAATGGAGAATTTATCACAGCCTAGTGGCTGAGATAATGTGATCCCTGACTCTATGTTCGCATTAGTTGAAGATAGTAGTTAGAGGAACATGACTTTGAAAACACCCAGGCAGCAGACAGAAAAGCAACAATAATAGTAGCTCATAGATACATAATGGTTTGTGATATGATTTCCTCAGAACAGTCCTGTAAAGTACATAAGGTGAGCATTATTAGCTTCATTTTATAGAGGAGGAAATTGAGTTTCAAAGAAGAGTAGTGACTTGTCCACACACATACAACTAATAAATAGAAGAGAGAGGACTGAGCTTTTTGGATTCTAAAATTGGCTTGCATACCGTTCAACTACTTGGGCTCTCCTTATATTTACATAGATAGTGCTTTGAAATTGGAAGTGACATCAAGGGACAGGACCTGTTCTTGTGTTAGAGAATAACTCTGCTCTTCAGGAGATTGATTTAGTCAAAGCTGTGTCCACATCTGTAATTAAAGCACCAAGCTATGTTGTAATGAGGGGCTACTGTAATCTGACCTCTCTTCTTTGTGTTCTTATTCGTACTGAATTTTTAACACCTTAACTACTCAGTTCCTCAGCCTACTCACTTCCTGTGACCTTCTCTTCTACCCACCTCAGCCACATACAAAGATGGTCATAACCTTGATTTTGCCATTAACCGCAGATGCATCACCTTTATGTTCAAGATTCCCAAATCTCTTTACCTGACCATAATCACTTGGCTTTCTATCTCTCCCTCTGCCTTCCCTTACCAAACCCTACTTTTTTTTTTTAATGCTTCAATCTATATTCAAACACCATCAGTTCTTTCTCTGGGGATGGATGGCATTTTTCATCATGAGTCCTTCAGAGTTGTCTTGGCTCATTGTATTGCTGAGAATAGCTAAGTCATTCACAGTTGATCATCTTAAAATATTGCTGTTACTTTGTACACAGTACATTTCACTTTGCATCAGCTCATGTAAGTCTCTCCAGGCTTTTCCAAGAGCATCTCGCTTATCATTTCCGATAGCACAATAATATTCCATCACAATCACATACCACAACTTGTTCAGCCATTTCCCAATTAATGGGTATCCCCTCAATTTCCAATTCTTTGCCTCCAGAAAAGAGTTGTTATATTTTTGTACATATGGGTCCTTTTCATTCTTGTTTTATTTTATCTCTTTTTGGATACAGACCTAGTAATGGCATTGCTAGATCAAAGGTATGCAAGGTTTTATAGCCCTTTGGGCAGTTCCTAATTGTTCTACTGAATGATTGAATCAGTTCACAACTCCACCGATAGTGCATTAATGCCCCATTTTCCCACATCCCCTCCACCATTTGTCATTTTCCTTTTCTGTCCTATAGCCAATCTAATAGGTATGAGATGGTACCTCAAAATTGTTTTAATTTGCATTTCTCCAATCATTGGTGAGTCAGAGCATTTTTTAATATGGCTATAGATAGTTTGATTACTTCATCTGAAAACTGTTCATATTATTTGATCATATATCAACTGGGGAATGGCTTTTATTTTTATATAAATTTGACCTGGTTCTGTGTATGCCAAACCCTACTCTTTCCCCACACTATAACCTTCAATTCCTTGACCCTTCAGCTCTCTTTGAGGCCATCAACCCTTGACCAGCCACACTTTCCTCTCTTCTCCATCTTGACCCCTTGGTGAACTAGTTCAAATCCACCTTATACTCTTGAGTCTATGACCCCCTTATCATATCTTTGGTTGTGCCCTGACAAGCCTCAGCCTTAGATTATTCCTACAATTCATTACCTTAATTTCTATACATGTACTGTTAAATGAAGGCAGAGAAAATCTCATAGCTGTTCTGATTGGGTCTACCAAATTATGTTACACAACTTCAGCTGGGCCCTCATTACTACTAGGTAGTCCTTCTACACCTCCCTTATGAACTCACTCCCCAGCAGTTGTTCCAAACCTTTTCATCCCTTCTCAAACCTCCCATCGTTCCCCCTCCCCTCACCCTTTCAACTGAGAACGTTGTTTCATATTTCGCAGAAAAAGTCGAGGCCAATCACTTCTTCTTCTCCCTTGTTCTTCATCTCACATCACTCAGATGTCTTCTGCCGCTATCTCCTCCTTCACCCCTGACTCATAGGAAGAGGTGGCCTAGCTCCTCACCAAGGCTAGCCCCTCTACCTGAACAAGAGATCTCATTCCATCCTGTCTCCTCCAACATATGGCCTCCTCTGTCATCCCCACTCTATCATTTATCTTCGATCTCTCCCTAGCTACTGAATCCTTCTCTATTGCCTTCAAACATGTCTTCTTCATCCTCAAAAACTCCTCACCTGATCTTTCTATTCTTGCATTTATCCTTTATCTCTTCTGCTCTGTGGCCATATTCCTTGAGGAGACTGTCTACAAGCCACATATCCACTTTCTGTCTTCTCATTCCACCAAAACAGCTCTCTCCAAAGTTATTGATGATCTCTTCACTGCCAAAGCCAATAGACTTTTCTCAATCTTCATTCTTTTTGACCTCTCTGAAGCCTCTGACATGGTTGATCACCCCTTTTTTTAAAGACAATTGGGGTTAAATGACTTGACCAGGGTCACATAGCTGGTAAGTGTCTGAGACCCCTGACTCCAGGGCTGGTGCTTTATCTACTGCACCACCTAGCTGCCCCTGATCATCCTCTTCTTTCTAGGTTTTTGGAACCCCACTCTCTCTTGGTTATTCTACTTATCAGACTGCTTCAGATTAGTCACTTTTGCTGAACTGACATCCAGGTCATATTCTTTAAACATAGGTGTCCCACAGGGATCTGTCTTGGGCCCTTTTCTCTTCTCCCTCTATACATTTTCACTTGGTGATCTCATGAGATCTCATGAATTATCATTTTTATGCTGATGATTCTCAAATCTACTATCCTACCCTAACCTTTCTGCTCACCTCCAATGTCATATCTTCAACTGCCTTTTAGACATCTTGAAATGAATGTTCAGTAGACATCCTAAACTCAACATGTCCAAAACTAAATTCAGTATCTTTCCTCCTAAATCTCTATCTCCAAACTTTCCTCTTACTCTTGAGGATACCACCATCCTCCTAGTCCTCCTGGCATACAACCAAGTGTCCTCGAATCCTTACTATCTTTCAAGCCCCCATATCCTGTTTGTTGCCAAGGCCTATCAATGTCAACTTTGCAACATCTCTCGAAATGCCCCCTTCTGTCTTCTGACAAGACCACCACCCTGCTACCAGGCCCTTATCATCTCACCCTCAGAATACTGTAATAGCCTGCAGGATTGGCCTGTCTTCAGTCTCTCCCTATTCCAATACATCCTCTATTCTGCTGCCAAAGTGATTTTCTTGAAGACCATGTCACTGCCTCTACTAAATAAACTCTGGTTACTCCCTATTGCCTCCAGGATCTAATACAAAATCCTCTTTTTGGTGTTCAAAACTCTTGTAATTTACACCCCCTCTGACCTTTCCAGTCTTTTTACATCTTATGCCTTGCCATGTACTCTTAGATCCAGTGACACTGACTGCCTCGCTGTTCCATGAATAAGATACTCCATTCCTCCATGGTGGACATTTTTTTCTGACTGTCCACCCAGCCAGGAACTTTCTCCCACTTCATCTCCACCTATTGGCTTCCTTGACTCCCTTTAAGTCTCAACTAAAATTCCATCTTCTACAGGAAGCTTGTCCCAGCCTTTCTTAATTCTAGTGCCTTCCCTCTTTAATTATCTTCTATTTATCCTATATATATATAGCTTGTTTGTACATATTTGTTTGCTTGCTGTCTCCCCCATTAGATTGTGAGCTCCTTGAGGGCAAGGGGTGTCATTGGCTTCTTTTTGTATTCCTAGACAGTGCCTGACATGTAGCTAAGGGGTGCAGTCGGCCTGAAACACTGAACCTGGAATCAGAATGACCTGAGTTCAAATGCAGCCTCAGACATTAGCTGTGTGGACCTTTGTTTGCCTCAGTTTCCTCAACTACTTTGCAGGGTTGCTGTGAGGATCCAATGAAATAATAATTGTAAAGTACTCAGCACAGTATCTGGCACACAGTAGGTGCTATATAAATGCTTATTCCCTTCTCTTCCCCTTATTGACTGACTGATCACTTCACAAATTGAAGAACTGAGGGCAAAGATTTTCAAGTTATCTCCTTAAGGCATACTAACTTGTGAAATTGACACAAGAATTCGAATCTTATGACTTCAATGTTTGTTCCATACTAGGTTAACTGAGTTTTGCAGCTTTATTTACTTCTGAAGGTGGCAGGTAATTGGAAAACCTGAGGGAAGTTTAAGGTCTGTATGGGGAAGGGGGATTGGTGGACTGCAAAAGAGGAGAAGCAACTCTAATAATTCCTTGTAGGGGTCTTAAAACAATTTTATTGATGCTTTTAAACATTGCTGTCACTTTCCTATGACTACTCCTTCTTCCCACTGCCAAAGAACCTTCCCTTTTTAACAAAGAGACAGAGTTAAGAGAAACTCCTTTAGCTATGTTAAAATTGATTCTGGTCCTGGTGCCTAACAGCTCTCTGCTGTGTTTTGTGATCAGTTCTCAAAAGTCAAGAATTGTGACTGCATTGTTCAGAGTTTAGATGTCTCTCAGTATTGTTTTCCTCTACATTATGATGTTGAATGTGTAAGTTTTTCTTCTGGTTTTGCTTCCTTTCCTCTGCATCAGTTCATATAAATCATCCCTAGTGTCTCTAGATTTTTCATATTCATCTTTTTTTGCAGCATAATAGTATTCCATTCCAGTCATGTATGATAATTTAGTCATACACATATACCTCAACTGATGACCACGTATTTTGCTTTCATTCTTTTTTTTTTTGCTACCACAAAGAATATACCTATGAATATTTTGTTATATGTAGGATGTTTCTTTCTGTATTTGACCTGCTTAAGATCCCACATGTCCATCAGTGGGATTTCTGGGCCAAACAGTTTAGTGACTTTTCCAGATTAGTTCCAAACTTTTTTTTCCAGAAGAGGGGGACCAGGTCATGGCTCTAACAAATGTGCTAATAGCATGCTTATCTTCCCACAATCCCAACAACAGAGCCTGTTTCTCTTTTCTTTTTAATCATCTTTGCCAATCTGTTACGTATGAGGTGAAATCTCAGAATTGTTCTAGTTTGTATTTTTCTTATTATTAGTGATTTGGAGCATTTTTTCATGTGATTGTTCATCATTTTCATTTCTTTTTCTTAAACCTGTCTATATACTTTGACCAGTTTGCTTTCTGGGAGGGTATAAAACATACACACAGGTAACTTAGAGAGCATTATTACAAAACAAGGTACTATGTAAAGTTACAGGGGAAGAACATTATTAACTCGGAGGGGAACAGGGAAGGCTGTGTGGAGTAAATTTGAGTTGGGTTTTGGCATATGGGTAGGAATTCACTAGATGAAGGGGAATAGATAGTCTAGAGTAGAATAAGCCAGGGCAAAGAGATGGGGAAGTACAGTAATACATTCAGGGGACAGAGAATATTCCTGCTTGGCCAGAGCACAGTGTATGTTTGGCAACAGGGGAGGAGGAGAGAGGAAGAAAGAGATAAATATGAGATAAGCTTGAAAAATCGGGTGGTTTCAGTTTGTGGAGGGCTTTAGATGCCATTTAAAGGAGATTGAACTGTTCCAACATTTTTATCAGTGCTTTGGATGAAGTCATAGAGGGTATGCTTTTCAGATTTTCAGATGACATAAAAACTCAGGTAGAGAAATATGGATTAAAAACAGGTCAAAATAGCCAGTAGAGGAAAATTCTATTGATTGTTTCTTGATCTACTCATGGGTCAGAGTCTTGCATACAGTATAAAGGGCATGAAGATATTGTTCTTTAATTCTTCCATGCAGTTATAAAGCCTGACTAGTCAGTACTTTAAAACTGCATAAGCCCTCATTGTTTTAAGAGCTGGATTTTAGAAACATTTTCCCACCTACAAATGTTATGTTTATTACAATATGCAATCTAACTTTAGAGAATTGACCTCCAAGTCAGGAAGGTCTGGGTTCATGTTCTCCCTCTGATATACACTAGTTGGGTGATTTAACAGTCTGTAAAATGGGCAAGGAATTTAACCTTCACTGCTCCAGGAGAATCTTTAAGATTATAAGTTACAGAGAAGGTGTTGATCTGCATTAGTACAGGAAGTACTTAACCATGAAATCACAGGTCTGATCTAAGAAAGAAAGAAAGAAGGAAAAAGAAATAAAGGAAGGAGGAAAGAAAGAGAGATGGAAAGAAAGGCAGGAAGGAAAGAAGGAAAGGAGGGAAGAAGGAAGGGAGGGAAAAAGAAAGAAAAAGGAAGGAGAAAGGATGTGGGAAAGAAAGGGAAGAAATGAAGGAAAGAAGGGAAGGAAGAAAGGAAGGAAAGGAAGAAAGAAAGAAAAGGAAAGGAAGAAAGAAAAAAGCAAAGAGAACCTAAGGATAAAAAAAAGGCTACTTCACACAGTTTTTTTTCCCCTTGTGAGCATTATTTTCCTCAGAGTATGAACTACAGTTCTCACCTTTGACATTTCTATTAAGTCTAACCCAAATGGAACTTGAGATAATGGTTAATAGTGTAGTTGGAAAGATGTCTTTGGACATTGGATCCTTCTCTACAGTCAGAGGCAATCGCTTGATCATTTCAGATGAGAGTTCCAGCACCAGTTCACCTTGGCTCTTTCCACTCCTGAAAAGTAAATTCTGGGAATTATAGGAGTCATAGGCTAGTGTAGATCAGAAGGCACCTTTATTCAGGTCCTTTCTGGAGACAAACAGCAAAAGGCAGCTTCCCTAAAGAGATTCAGAAGGATGCAGTACTTTTGGATTGAAAGACTTTTTACCCCAGTGCAACTATGGAAAAGTGCTCTCTCATATACATCCATGTCCCTATCTCATTCTTTTCCACCCTTTCATTGTGCCCTCTGGAGTTCTTGTTCTATTGTTAACAAGCTGCATTTCATATTAGCCCACCCTTTCCACAAAGAAATTACTTTGTGTATTTCTATATATTTACTTATGCATAACCATGTTTTTCCCCCAAGAGAATACAAGCTCCTTGAGGGCAGGGACTATTTCATTTTGCCTTTGTATTCTCAGCACTTAGGGGTAACTGGCTTATATTAGGTACTTAATAAATGCTTGTTGACTTGAATCAAATTGAATACTTGCTTCCACAAAAATCACATCAGGTAAAACCATAGGCATGCATATGCATAAGGTGTAGGTGGCACAGTGGAGGTTAAATATTACCATTAATGCTTCCCTATTCAATGGTAATGTTCTTCCCAGGGTGTGCTGCACCTCCTTTTCCCCTCACTTCAAATATACACCTCTTGCTCAAGAGTGAAACACTTTGATGAGGGTAGTTCACAGGAAAAATCTTATGAATAAATTGGTAAGTAGACTAATATTGGGAGAGTTAATTCAGCTCAGCTTCAAGTACTATTAGCCCAGATTGTCACTGACCATCTGATTTGAATCCAGGCAGTTGACTGGCTGAAAGTATTACAACGTGACTTAGCTTTAATATGTTTGTTAAAATGGGAGATAATATTGGCTAAGGCAATCTTATGTTAGGAATGCTTGTATATCATTTTAGGATTTAAGTTCTTTGACAGCATAGAGGGCGCTTTTTTGTAAACTCTATACATAGGGGGCAACTAGGTGGTACAATAGATAGGATTATGGGCCCAGAGTCAAGAAGATCTGAGTTCAAATCTGACCTCAGACACTTGCTAGCTGTGTGATCCTGGGCAAGTCACTTAACCCTGTTTGCCTCAGTTTCTTCATCTGTAAAATGAGCTGGCAAAGGAAATGACAAACCACTCCAGTATCTTTGCCAAGAAAACTCCATAATGTGATCATGAAGAGTCAGACATGACTGATCGCCCAAATAACAATGAACTTCCCAGAGCAGTTGTGAAGATCAAATGAAATAATAATTGTAAAGTGCTTTGCAGAAGCACATATAGTGCTTCTGACATATAGTGAATACTATATAAATGTTAGCTATTATTATTATTGTTATTACAAGTTTGCAAAATGCTTTAGATGTGTAATCTCATCTGACTTTCACAACAATCCTGGGAGATAGGCACTATTATTATTTCCACTTTACAGATGAGGAAACTGAGGCCTAGAGAGGTTAAGTGACTTGGCCAGGGCCATACAGTTAATAAGCATTTGAGAGAGGGTTTGAACTGAGGTCTTCCAGACTCCAAGTCTAGTGCTCTGTCCACTATACCCCCTAGCTCCCTGGTTATTGTTATTGCTCCTCCCAGCCCTCCACCTGCCCCCATTTATTGTTTAATCACTGCCTATTCGCCAGTGGATCTGCGTCTTGGTAAAAATATTGGTACTTCCCCAAAATATATCAACTGATCCTTATTCATGCCTTCTAATTCTATGTGACTCATATAGCCGGTCAAATAAGCATTTATTAAGTGCATACTGTGTACCAGGCACTTTACTGTATCTCCTTAGAAATCCTCTACAGGGAAGGGGTTCTATCTAAAATGTTTGGGGCCTTTCTTAACATCAGGAAAGCACTCAAGAAGGACAGATTCCATTGGTTCTCTCTTGCACTACAGGACGGCCTACCTTTTTTCTAGTGATGTATCACTTTGGAAAATGTTACGGATGATGATTCAACTAACCAAAACGTCAAAAGCAGGGCCAGTATGCCAAGTACAATAAATTGCTTTATATAACATGTTTGAACTTAAAGGAAAGCTTTTGTTTCTCAGAAACTCTTACCCAATGATTATGTTGGCAATAGCAATTCTTGGTTGCATAGCAATGATAGTGTTAATAAGCTCTTGGGCCTGGGATTCCTGATAAATCCTTGAAGTCTGTTGGTGCATTCCAAGGACCTCGGACAGTTCAAAATCCGGGAGGGATTCTATGTACTTCCTACATTGAGTTAGGTTTGCACAGTCAGGTAGCATTGCATACATCTGTAAATTTCAAAAGAGCTTCTTAGTTTCTTTCTTACCATGTGAGACAGAGGAAGACGTTCAGCACGTATGAGAGAGATATTTTCAGCAAGGAAAGGAGAAACAACAACATTCTGGTTTTGGTGAATTGTTTTTTTCTTTTTTAATTATTGACACAAGAGAAGGCTTACTGGGTAGGAAAGGAGAACATATTTAGACATAAATAGATTGTAAGACAAAAAAGAATATCAATAAGAGAATCAACTTAGCAACAGAAAAATAAAACTTTTAAAAAATTAAAGAGGGTGGGTAAGGAAAGATGGTAGATGGTTTTTTTAAATCAATCACTGTGGTCAAAGATTAGTATTTGTTTTTCTCCCACATAAATTACAAATTTCCATGTAAAATTAAATCTTGTAGAATGTTTTTTTTTTATAAGCTATCTTACACTTGTGAGAAATAAGAAAAATTCCCAATTAGAAACTGTTACAGCTTGCATATCTAGAGTTTTTGGGGTATCTAGAGTAGGTTTGCTACCTACAACATAGTTATGTAAGCTGGAGTGGTAGATAAGAGACTGAAAACAAATTGTGAAACAGAATCTAGGTTTCTGATAGTTATATCTTGACATCATTATTATTTAATCATGAGAAACACTTCAGCAAGTAAGACTTTTCAAGATAAAATCTGCTATGATTTAGATGTAGGTTCTCATTTTATAAACCTCAGAAAATTATGACACATTAATGCCTCATATTTCCAGTATTATTGGTGTACAAAGTATTCTAATTAAATTAATTTTTTTTGGAGGGTTAGGAAGCTGGGTAGACTTTTATTTTTATTTTAATTAATTAATTTTAGTTTTCAACATTCACTTCCATAAGCTTTTGAATTTAAAATTTTCTCCTCCTACCTCTCTACCTCCCTCTTCAAGACAGTGTGCAATCTGATATAGGCTCCACATTTACATTCCTATTAAACATATTTTCACATTAGTGATGTTGTAAGGAAGAATTAGAACCAATAGGAGGAACCACCAGAAAGAGGAAACAAAACAAAGCAGAAGAAAAAAAGAGCAAATAGTATGCTTCAATCTCCATTCAAACCCCATAGTTTTTTCTTCGGACGTGGATAACATTTTTCATCATGAGATCTTTGGAGATGTCTTAGATCCTTGCATTGCTGAGAAGAGCTAAGTCAATCAAAGTTAGTCATCACACAATGTGGCTGTTATTGTGTACAATGTTCTCCTGGTTCTACTCACTTCACACAAGCATCAGTCCATACAAGTCTTTCCAGGTTTTTCTGAAGTCTGCCTGCTCATCATTTCTCATAGCACAATAGTATTCCATTACATTTATATACCACAACTTGTTCAGCCTTTCCCCAATTGATGGGCATCCCTTCAATTTCCAATTCTTTGCCACCACAGAAAGAGATGCTATAAATATTTTTGTACATGTGGGTCCTTTTCCCATTTGTATGATCTCTTTGGGATACAGCCCTAGAAAAGGTATTGCTGGGTCAAAAAAGGGAACGCACATTTTGATAGCCCTTTGGGCATAGTTCCAAATTGCTCTCCAGAATGGTTGGATCAGTTCACAACTCCACCAACAATGCATTAGTGTCCCAATTTTCCCACATCTCCAACATTTATCCTTTTCCTGTTTGGTCATGTTAGCCAATCTGATAGGTGTGATGTTGTACCTCAGAGTCATTTTGATTTGCATTTCTCCAATCAATAGTGATTTAGAGCATTTTTTCATATGACTATAGATAGCTTTAATTTCTTCATTTGAAAACTGCCTGTTCATATCCTTTGACCATTTAGCAACTGGGGAATGGCTTATATTCTTATAAATTCGACTTAGTTCCCTGTATATTTTAGAAATGAGGCCCTTATCAGAGATGCTGGTTTAAAAATTCTTTCCCAATTTTCTGCTTCCCTCCTAATTTTGTTTGCATTTGCTTTTTTTTGGTGCAAAAACTTGCCAATTTAATGTAACAAAATTATCCATTTTGCATTTTGTAATGTTGTCTATCTCTTGTTTGGTCATAAATTCTTCTGTTCGCCATAAATCTGACAGGTAAACTATTCTTTGCTCTCCCAGTTTGCTTATAGTATCAGCTTTTATATCTAAATCGTGTACCCATTTTGACTTTATTTTTGTATATGGTGTAAGACTTTGGCCTATGCCTCATTTCTGCCATACTCTTTTCCAGTTTTCCTAGTAGTTTTTGTCAAATAGTGAGTTCTTATCCCAGAAGCTGGGGTCTCTGGATTTATCAAACAGTAGATTACTGTAGTCATTGACTACTGTGTCTTGTGTACCTAACCTATTCCACTGATTTGCCACTTTATTTCTTAGCCAGTAGCAAGCAGTTTTGATGATTGCTGCTTTATAATACAGCTTAAGATCTGGTATGGCTAGGCCACCTTTCCTAGCATTTCTTTTCATTAGTTCCCTTGATATTCTGGAGCATTTGTTCTTCCAGATGAATCTTTTTTTTTTTTTTTTTTTTTTAGGCAATTGGGGTTAAGTGACTTGCCCAGGGTCACACAGTTAGCTAGTAAGTGTCAAGTGTTTGGTCTGAGGCTGGATTTGAACTCAGGTCCTCCTGACTTCAGGGCCAGTGCTCTATCCACTGCACCACCTAGCTGCCCCCCAGATGAATCTTGTTATTATTTTTTCTAGTTCTATAAAATAATTTTTGGTAGTTTAATTGGTATGGCACTGAATAAGTAAATTAATTTAGGTAGAATTGTCATTTTTATTATATTAGCTCGGCTTACCCATGAGCAACTGATGTTTTTCCAATTATTTAGATCTGCCTTTATTTGTGTGAAAAGTGTTATGTAATTGTGTTCACATAGTTCCTGGGTTTGTTTCGGCAGACAGACTCCTAAATATTTTATAATGTCTACAATAACTTTAAGTGGAATTTCTCTTTCTATCTCTTGCTGTTGGGCTTTGTTAGTGATATATAGAAATGCCAATGATATGGGTAATTAAACTAATTCTCTAAAGACTCAAAATGTATCCTATGTTTGTCTGTCTGTCTATCTATCTCTGTATGTATATCTATATTTAAAACAGAGGCCCAAGGATTGATCCTTGGGGAACACCCATGTTTAAGGGGAGGAGGCAGAAGAAGGAACTAGAAAAGATGGCAGAGGAGTAGTAAATTTCAAGAAGGGAGGAGGGCAGTCGAATTAAGTCAAGAAGAATTTGTTAAGCTCCTATTATGTGCCAGGCATGATGCTAAGAGTTGAGGATACAAAGAAAAGCAAACACCCTCACCTTCAAAGAGCTCAAAATTGAATGGGTGAGGCAACAGACTAGCAGTTCTGTACAAACAAGATATACACAGGACAAATCTCAGAGGGAAGGCTTCAGCATTAAGGGAGATTGGGAAAGGCTTGTTGCAAATGGTGAGATTTTATCTGGGACTTGAAGTCATGGAAATCAGGGGTCAAAGATGAGGAGAGGGAGCATTCCAGGGATGGGAGGCACCCAGTAAAAAATCTCAGGCAGGAGATGTGGTATCTTGGGCAAGGAGCCTCAAGGAAGCCAGAGTCACTGGATCTTAGAGTATGTGGAGGGGAGTTAAGTGTAAGAAGCCTGCGAAGGTAGAAAGGGACCAAGTTATATAGGGCTTTAAAAGGCAGACAAAGGATTTTGTATTTGATCCTGGAGGTAATGGGGAACCCCTGGAGTTTATTGAAGAGGGGGTGACAAGGTCAGACTTGTGCTTCATGAAGATCAATTTGATAGCTGAGTAAAGGATGAACTGAGGTGGGGAGACTTGAAGTAGAGGGACCAACCAGAAGGCTATTGTGATAATCCATGTGTGGGTGATGAGGGCCTGTATCAGGGTGATGGCAGTGTCAGAGGAGAGAAAGGCGGATATAGGAGAGATACTGTGAGCATAGATATGATAGGAGCTGGCAACAGGTATGGGCAATGAAAGAGAGTGAAGAGTCAAGGACGTTACCTAGGTTCTGAGCCTGAGTGGCTATGAAGATGGCGGAACCCTGGGCAGTAAAAGGGAAGTTAGGAAGATTTGGAGTTGAATCCTCTCTCTCTGTCTCTCTGTCTCCGTCTCTCTCATTTCACTTTTAGACAGCTCTAATTGTTTGGAAGTTTTTTCCTATTAAACCTTAATTTGCCTCTCTACACTTTCTACCCGTTTGTGTCTGAGACAAACAGAACAATAAAATGCGGGCTCCTCGGGGGCAAAATCTGTTCTATAGGTTTGTATTTCCATTTCTAGTGCCTAGTACAGCACCAGGCACAAAGTGGACATAAGTGTTTGTTGATGGATTGAAATCTAATTCCTTTTCTACATGTCAACCCTTTAAATGCCTAAAGATAGCTGTCATGTCTGCCCTTCCTTCCTGGTCTTTCTCCATGCTACACATCTCCAGTTCCTTTCGACGAACTCTCCTATGACACAGATTTAATGCCCTTCATTATCCTGCTTATCCTCTTGTGGGCACTCTCCAGTTTCTCAAAGTCTTTCCTAAGCTGTGGCACAATTGAACACAAAACTCTGATGACAACAGAATACAATGGGACTATTCCTTTTTCTTAGGGGTAGCTGTAAGTTATAAGCTACTCTCTTAATGCAGCCCAAGATAGCATTCATGATTTTTTACTGCCAACTGCTGACTCATATTGAGTTTAACAACCCTCAGATCCTTTTCTGACAAAACACTATTTAACCATATTTCCTTTCTCTTGTACTTGTGATGTCGATTTTTTGAACCAAAATTTAAGCCTTTACTCTTATCCCTACTGAATTTCATCTTATTATATTTAGTCTAGTCCTATATCCCAAGGGTCAGCAGATAAGAACCAGAGGGCCAAATCCATTTGCCATATACACACACACATACATACATATGCGGCAGATATATGTGTATATATGGCACACAAATATAGCAATATATATGACACACACACACGTGTATATATACATCACACATATGTGTATATATACATATATATGGAAGGTTTTATATATATATGTATATATAAAATTTTGTGAGGCAATTGGGGTTAAGTGACTTGCCCAGGGTCACACAGCTAATAAGTGTCAAGTGTCTGAGGCTGGATTTGAACTCAGGTCCTCTTGACTCCAGGGCAGGTGCTCTATCCCCTAAATCACCTAGCTGCCCCGTGCCACATATTTTTTAAAAAATGTAAAAACCATTTGTGGCGCTAGGTGGCACAGTGGATGGAGCGTCATCTAGTGGATTACCCATCACTTTCAGCCTTGTACCATCTGCAAATATGATGAGCATGTCATCTATGCTTTTATTTAAGTCATTGATTAGATAGGGACAGAGATTAGCCCTGTGATTTCACTGCTATGGGCAACTTTCAGATGAGGACACTCTCTCTACCAATTCAGGTCAGCACTTTTGCCGTTATTTATAGTCTTAGTGTTTAGTCTGAGAGGTTAAGTTATTTGCCCAGAGTCACACAGCCAGTATGTGTTAAGGCAACATTTGAACCCAGGTTTTTCTGGCTTCTAGGCCAGCTCTCTCTCCACCACACAATGCTTCCTCTCTTTTATCAGGTCATTGATAAAAATATTCAATAGTGTAAGGCCAAGTGCAGATCCCTGGAATACTGCACTGAAGACCTTGCAAGGTGGCATTGACTTATTAATGATTGCTCTTTGAGTCCAACCATTCAGCCAATTCCAAATTAGTTTTGTGTCTTAAATAACTTTTTAAATTTCTTACTGTTACTTATTTGTTCATGTAGTTATTTATTCATGTAGCTTTTTTTTCCCCAAGCAATCTTTAAGTAAGGTTCTTCATAGATTTTGATCTAGAAGATACCTTTGATACCATCTAATTCCATTTCCTCATTTTATACATGAGGAAATTGTGACACAATGGAGGAAAGAGACTTATTTGCCCAACACCATGAATCTAGTGAATGGCAGAACAGAAACTCAGAACCAGATCCCTGACTCTAAATCTCTTCTTTCTCTATGGCATCATAGAAAGTCCCCAATAAAGGTTTCTTGAGTTAATTTTGAATTTGTTGATTTGTTTCCATATTGCTTTGCATCATTATTTAATTGGGCAATTAGGTGGTGCAGTGGATACAGTGTTGGCCCGAAGTTAGGAAAACCTAAGTTCAAATCCGGCCCCTGATACTCACTGTGTGACCCTGGGCAATTCATTTAACTTCTGTTTGCCTCATTTTCCTCAATTGTAAAATAGGGATAATAATACCATGTACCTTGCAGGGTTTGGTGAGGATCACATGAAATAGTATTTATAAATAACATTTAGCATGGTGTTAAATGATAGCTATTTTTATTATCACTATTATCATTATTGTTTTATGTTTGTATCTCTTGTTTTTCCAATGAGATTTTGAGATCCTTAATTAAATTCAACAAACATTTATTAGAAAGTTTACTGATGAAATCACAGGTCTGGACTAAAAACAATTTAGTAAATAATTTATTAACAATTAAATTTATTAATTTATTAACAATTTATCTACTGTCTACAGAGACTGAAGGGTAGGGATCATGGTAGCATGGAGTCAGGAAAGACCTAGGTTGAAATATCACTTCTGACATTGACCAGCTCTGTGATCATGGGTATGTCATTTATGTTCTCTGAACTTATCTGTAATATGAGGATAATAAATCCTGGTAGAGTCTTCCCTGTATGCCTTTGATATGTAGATTAAATGAAATAATGGATGCACAGTGCTTTACTAGCCTTAAAGAGCCATGTAAATGTCACCTATTATTTTTATTTGCCCATCATTAGTGTCTACTCTGGTTTCTGACACTGAATTAGCATGTAGTTATCTCTCAAACGTTGGACTGAATTGCTTTTTCCAAATCACATTTCTAATCACATATACATTCAGTACTTTTCACTAGTTTTTGCTACATGGCTGTTCCATCCAGAATAGCATCCTCCATCGTTACTGTGCAGGTAGCTAATCCCTGAATAACAGGGGCTTCTAGAAACCAAGCTGCCAGGGAGGAAATACTGAAACAAGGGTGACACAAGCTCTAGAAATCTTATTTCCCAATGTACAATTTCCTCACCTTAGGCTACACAATCTACTTATTAACTTTTTAAATTGTGAGAGTAATTTCACAATTCTCAACTAGGCAATATGAAGGTCAGCTTAATTCACCACAGACTCTCAGTTATCTTTAGAGCTGAAATATGAGCATCCTAAGGAAGCAGGCATATTCAACCCGAAAGAGAGGTTTTGAGTTACCCTAAATGAATTTCTTCTTGACAGAACAAGAAAGGGAGATTGGGGGGCATTTTGAGCAGAAGAATCTGTGCTTTGGTACTCTGCCTGCCTCAGGGGTTTCCTCCTTTCCCCAAATTAGTGCATCTGGCAGTAAAATACAGAGGATCCTAGCTTTCAAACTGATAGGAACTTGAGAAGTCATCTAGCCCAACTCCCTCATTTTATAGGAATGGCCTATAAAATGGCCTCAAGAGCAGTTAAGTGACTTGGCCAGGGTCACACAGGGAGTAAGTGACCGGGCCAGGATTCAAACCCAGCTCCTTGGACTTCATGGAATCAGAGCACACAACCACATACCAGGCACTCACTCATCCTTCCTCATCTTTGCAAGATGCTCTGATTATAGGAACTCAATAAATCTGGATTGATTGAATGAATGAATGAATGAAAGAATGATGCTGATAAGTGAGACAGAGAATGCATAAAACCTTGAAAGGAGAATCTGAAAAAGTCAATGAAAATGGTAATGAAGGTTAGAATCCAAAGATTGCAGTAAAATCTTTAATATGTTCTCTTCTAGAAGGCTCAAGGGAAACCATCATTAATAAAATAGTTTTGTTTTGTCATGTAGTCGACTCTTAGACAAGAGCAGGGGCAGGGACTTCTCTACCAGTGAAATCATGATACTGACTTTGAAGCCTTACTCCAAAGACTTCTAAGATGACTTGCCGCCATGCCAGCATGTACACTAGGGTTTCTTAACCTTTTTTGTGCTGGGGACTCCTTTGGCCATCGGGGGAAGTCCGTAGACCCCCTTCTCAAAATAATGTTTTTAAATGCATAAAATAAAAAGGATATCAGTTATATTGAAGATGTATTTTTTTTTCCCATCTAAGGTGCCCAGAGGAAACTTGGGGACTTCAGTGTCTGACAGTCCTACAAAGGCACCTGTCCTCTGAAGCTTTAAAATGTGGAATGATTTTATTTACACAGAAAAAAAGAGATTACAGCTGAGCCCACGGAGAGGAGAGATAAGAGACTATCACCCCTAATGGGTCACCTTCCCTTTTGTCTTGGAAAACCTTTTCATTGTTTCTATGATTCCCCAACAAAGTTTTTTGACCAAATATTTAAATCAATGGCTCTTTTAAAATGTATGGGGCAGGCAAGGGGCTCTCTTACTATACTACTATAGTATTAAAGACAATATTCCAGCTTCTTGTGGGTAAGGACGAGGCCTTGTATGTAGTAGGTGGTAAATAAGTAGAATATAAACTCTTTCAGAGTAAAGATTTCTTCATTCTTTGTACAGATATTTCTGCTATAACATGCCTTATGTGTTCCTAAAAATCATTGTTCTATGCAAAATTTTGCAATAAAAACCTTAGGGCTTATGGGAAAAATGGTGTTAGGGGTACAACACTCAAAAATCTTTTCAGTGATATATACAAAAAAGATAAGAACTTAATAAAAATGGCAGCACAATTTTATATATGTTAAATGGTTAAGTAGTACATAAATACTACAATAAATAATAGTGGTATCCATGAACCTGAATTGCTGCTTGGCCTGGGTCCTGGGTCCCACAGGCCAGGCTGGTAAAGTCAATGGCTATGGGCTAAAGGAAGCTTATGTGTGTGTGTGTGTGGTGGGCGAGGAGTTTCTTCTGCCAACTCCAGGAAGCCATGGTAGATGGTGGGATTTGGGAGATGGAGTGTGTGGGTGTGGACTAGCTTTCCTCCACTTATAGATTCTATTGTATTGGAAAGTATACAATAAATGTGACATTTAACCTTGAAAGAAGTCTGAAGTTTGATTGTGGAAATGAGCATCCAGAAGGCTTGAAGCTTGTGAGTTATTGTGAAATACTGTAGTTTTTTGTACTTGATAGTTCTTGCAGATGAAATTGCACACAAACAAATGCAAAATTTGCATTATGCTCAAAAAGTTCCCTAATGTATCAATCACTTTGGAATAAATCCATGTTTTCAAAACATGTGTTATAGCAGAATTCACTCTATTTGTGTCCCTAGGGGCTGGCACATAGTAGGTGCCTAATAAATACTTGTTGACTGATTGAATTAATTGAAAATGAATGGGCAATATTCCAAGTTTAGAGGTAAGCTTTTCCTCTAGTTCAGCAGCCAGGTATCATTGGACACTTACTAGTTTATCTATACCCTTCACCTCATCTTGAGGAAGACAAAGTGGGCTTAGAGGGAAGAAAGAAGATGGAGGAAATGGAAAAGAAGCTGAGGGTGAGGAGGGCTGGAGCATTCTAATGTCCAGGCTGAGTAGGAAAGTACTTAGCTAGTATCTGTCTCTGATTTGTGTCTTAAAATACAAGTCCTTTTTGTCCAAAGCCTGACACAATTTCCAATGAGGTATTTATTAAATGCTTTTTGATAATAACAATAATGGTGGATAGATGTCAATAAAAGTCATATAACAAAGTTCAGTTAAAATATTAAAAAAATTGGGACTATTAGAAAAAAATACATTTCTTACCCCATCATCAGTAAAACTGAAGTCCTTCTTCAGCACGTCAGGATTACAAAAATTCTTTAGGAGAGATAGTAAGCAGAGCCTATCCCAGCAATCTGTCACTCGGCCTCCATAAATTATTTCTCCTGTCAAGTAATGTATTGCTTCCCAAGGAATTTCTGACTTTTCGGCCAGGAGAATCGCTAACATTTTGATGGTGACCTTTGAAAAAAGTATTAAGCAATGGTTTTCATTTTAACTTGACTTTATTTGGATGTCTTTTTGAGGGAGAACCCAAAGTTCTCAGAGAGCTTTATAGGGCAGACAATAAGAGAGCAGCTTTTGATCTCTGGGGCAATAGTCCCTGGATCCTTGATGCATTAGACTCTGTGATCTTGCCTTGGGTAACTGTTTCAACACTGGAGAATGGAAAGAGCATTGATTTTGGAGTTAGAAAGCCTGGGTTCAGATCTGCCTCCGTCATGACCAATTCAGCCTCAGGTCATTCATTCCACCAGTTTGGGTCACAATCTGCTCACCTGATAGGTGAGGATGCTGGAAGAAAGACAGCCTCTAAGATCTCTAAATCTATGATCTTATGCCTTTGACAGTTCTCTACAGCTCTGGGAATGGTGCTCTGTTAGATTTGAGGCCAATCATTTCAAAAATTGATCACCACTGCCTTTGAGACACTGACAAAGAATCCCTTGGCAAAGAAGGGAATATTTAAAAAAATTTTTTTTAAAAGGGAATATTTAAGCAATTAAATGGGAAGCTAGTGGCTCACAGGTATATGGTACATTTGTGAATCACAAATAGGATGTCTGGATGAGAATTCTACTTCTTTTTTTTTTCATAAAGCAAACCAAACCTAAGCATCTTGCATATGAGAACAGTTACGTGGTTTAAAGGAAAAGATGAATTTAATAAAGTCACTACTGTGGTGAGAGACAAAGAGGGAGAGAGAGACAGAGAAGGAGAGAGAAATAGAGGAGAGAAAAGATTTGAGGAGGGAGAGGTTGTGAAAGGGGGGGATTGAGAGAGAAGCAGAGAGATTGAGAGAGAGACAGAGAGAAAGAGACAGAAAGAGAGATAGAGGAGAGACTGAAAGAGAGACAGAGACAGAGACACACATACATATAGAGAGCCAGTTGTGGAAGACTTGGGTTCAATTTCTGTCTTTGATGTAAACTAACTATATGATCATAGCCAGGTCTTACAGTGCCTTGGCCAGTTCTCTAAAACTATAATTTCATGAGTGAATTGTTGATGTGCGTCTTTGGAGCTCTCCATACCAATGAAATCCAGGTCTGGATGTGCCCTCCAACTCCAGACCCCTACGCCCTGCAGCCAAACCAAACCAAACCCCAAAACTACAGCGTCAGTAACATAACTCCAGCCAACTCATTAGAACACATATTAGTGGAGGGGACTAGTGTTTTAAATGACCTCAAAACATTTGAATTAAGTCCTGAAGGTATGCTTTTTTTCTCTTGAGAATGAGCTTTTAAATAATAGTTTGCTCAAGGTACTAGGCACCTAAGTGATGCAGGGGAGAGAGTGTTGGACCTGGAGTCAGGAGGACCTGAGTTTAAATTTGAACTCAAACACTTATTAACTAAGCAACCCCTAGACAAATCACTTAAACTGTGATTGCCTCAGTTTTCCCAACTGTAAAATGGGGATAATAGCACATCTCTCCCAGGGTTGTTGTTGAGGATAAATTAGATAATAAAGTGTTTAGCATAATGTCCAGCATACAGTTGTTGTTGTTGAGTCATTTCAGTTGTGGCTTACTCTTGGTGACCCCATTTGGGATTTCTTGGCAAAGATACTGGAGAGATTTGCCATTTCCTTCTCCAGCTCATTTTACAGATGAGGAAACTGAGGCAAACAGGGTTAAGTGACTGATTTGAACTCAGGTCTTCCTGACTCCAGGCCCAGCACTCTATCCACTATACCACTTATCTGCCCCTGGCATACGGCAGGTGCTTAATAAAGGCTTGTTTCTTTCCTTTCTTTCTATTAAAGTAGCTGTCATTATGTACACATACGTTAACAAGACAAGGAAGGTAGTGGCACAGTGGGACATGAGGGGCATTTCTGAGGAACATTCTGAACATGAAGGTGAAAATGGCTAGGACAGGACAACATTCTGTCCCAGAAAATTCACAAATGATAACAAGTTTCATTTATATAGTACTTTATGGTTGAACAAAATGCTTTTCTCATAACATCCCTGAAAGACAGGTAATACAAGTACCATTAACCCCATTGTACAGATGAGGAAACTGTGTCTCAGAGAGTTTTAATGAGGGCAGGGATTGTCTTTGGCCTCTTTCTGTATCTCCAGCATTTAACCTAGTGGTTTGCACATAGTAGGCATATGATAAATGTTTATTGACTCACTGACTAAAGCTTAAAACTGCAATAAAACTTTTGATATATATATAGCATTTACTTGTCAATGTCATATTCAGTGAAAATTCTTTGGAAGGGAAATGTTTTAGGGAAATAAAGCATTTCCTGGTTTTTGTGTTCACTATTTTATGGTGCTTGGATAGATTGGTTTTGGTATCAAGGAATGATTAGGAATGTATCTTTAAAAAAATTCCCAAACTACACTCACCTCCAAGTCTGAAGTACTAAATTCATAAGGAATATTCCAGCCTAATGTTCCATACTTTCTTCTTTCATTGACTACAGCATTGAAGAAAGAGATGCTGAATAAAAGTTTTTTCCATGATGGTCCACATTCAGTGTTCTCATAGATTTCTTCTGTTATCTCTCCACTGCCATGGTACCCAAATGACTGAAGGAGATTTGCTTTCACACCCTGGGGAGATTCTACTGTCATCTTTAAAGAAGAAGAGATAAAAACAGTAGATGAAAGTAGCATTCTTCATGCCCCTAGATCTAAAGTTTATTTACTTTTTTCTTTTTTGGTATAACAAAGGTAGAAAGCCTACTATAAAGTGGTCAACCAATTTCCTTACAGCTTCTGGAGGGCAGGTACTATATTACTTTTTATCTTTGTATCCTTTGCATCTGGCACAGTTGCAGACATACTATAACTTAAATGCAGATGTTCTGAATATAATTTATATGACTTAATAGCAGATAAAAAGTTTGGTTCATGCATATATGTATGTACACATACATATATAAAACATATATATCATATATGTATGTAGGTGTGTATATATATGTATATATGCACACATCATACACACACATATCCTGGGTACTGGCATAAGACCATAGTCATTGGTAGAAAGAATGATTACTCACTTCTCATTGCCTACAAGATGGGCACAATTGCTAAGAGGGGGGAGAAAATAGTTGTTCTGACTTCGAGAAATGATATGCTAGGATACAGATCTTGTGTCCTTAGGAAGAGGCTCTTGGAGAGGGACTAAGGCTTGGGGATGCCAGAAGAAGGGACTGGGAGAGATGACAGACAGTTGGGCTTGGCATTGTTGCTAGGTACCCTAATTTCCTTGGGGTGGTATGGTTTGACTAGTGGGAGAGGTCCTCATTTTCCAGGAAGGTGGAATTAAATTTAAATCCTCTTGGGTCTGCTCAGGGACTGCAACCATTCCCTCCCAATGCAATTTCCTCCATGCTTTCTCCATTTTTGTCAAAGTTTAAAGCAAACATTAAATGCCCATTTCCTCTAAATACAACCAGATATGTCATTGGTCAGTTTTAATCAGTTAGTTTGGTGGATTCTTTCACTAAAAAGACCAGTTCTTTGTTTGATTGGATTCTTTGGCTACACCAACAGAATCTTTTAGCACTGTCTAGACCTAGCCAAGGTGAACATCATGGTAATGCAGGCCAGGTATAAAAAAGGATAAATGAAACTTACTGTTAATTCTAAATTATGATTTTTTATTCCATACTTTAAACTCTGTCTTTGATAGTTATTTCATAAGCACTGTTAACAAGTAATAAAAGCTATTTTACCTCATTTCCCCCATTAGATTGTCAGCTATATGAGGCTAGGGCCAGGGCTTTGCTGGAGCCTGCTTGAACTAGCTTCTGAGAGTCTTGTTAAATTTTCAGATGACCATTTTGCAACTGGTCAATCAGTAAACCTTATAAATCAGGGCTTGATTTATTGCTTTATTTATTATTTGTCCAGACTTAAGAAAGTGTGGAGAACATGTCAATAATTCAGATTAAATTTAAAAGTAGGTCCTATGTATATATATATACATATACATATATATATATATATATATGCACACATTTTTTTTTTTAGTGAGGCAATCAGGGTTAAGTGACTTGCCCAAGGTCACACAGCTAGTATGCGTCAAGTGCTTGGTCTGAGGTCGGATTTGAACTCAGGTCCTCCTGAATCCAGGGCCGGTGCTCTATCCACTGCACCACCTAGCTGCCCCATGTATACTTCTTCCCTATCAAACACTAGCACATCCCTGACTTGGACCCTTTTTATCTACATTTTAATTTCCCACAACTCTTCACAGCATTCTGTGTTCTGAAGGCTCTAAGTTTTAACATGAAAAATAAAATGAAAATTTCCCCAGTTACCTTCTCATGAATAAGTTAATTAATTATATAAATGCCAAGGCAAACAGCAAAAGCAAGGGCAGAAATCCTTCCCAAAGGGACTATTCAGTTCCTATTAATTCAGAGTATGCCATAGGTATGTGAAATATAAGAAATTTAAATTGTAAATGACTTGGGGTGAGGGACCAAATTTTTCTTGTGCCTTTTTTTTTTTTACCTCCCATAGCTCCCAGTAGAATCAAAGCCCCCACTCCACTCCCCCCAGTACTTGCTGAATGACTGACAGCACCAAACCCTCCCTCCATCTTGCCTCAGAGTTAAGATTTTAAAATCTTTAGCATTCACACTGGGCTCTTCTGTCCATCCTTAAATTTGTTGTTTTTAATAGCTGAGAAGCATCCAAACATAATGGATAGAGGTGTGGCCTTGGAATCTCCATAGAGGGCTAAGTTAACATCCTGCCTCTGACAGAAATTCACTGTCTGCACCGCCCTCCCCCCCCACCCCAAATCACTTCCTAGTGCATCTGGCAACTTTCTGAGGTTGTTACAAGTTACAGCCTGTTTTCTAGTCTGCATTGATGGGTGGTGAGGGGAGTTTTCACATCAGGAATGCTCCACAATCTGAATTCCCCTCTGACCCTACCTCCAACAACCCATCATTCTCACCTTCAAACTCTTCTGCAGAATCGCTATGGGGAAGGAACTGTCCGGTTTTGAGCTTAACCATAGTCTAAAGTCGGGGTCTAGTTTTGAATAATTAAATCTGCAACATAATTAATTTATAAAATTATTAACATGAAAAACAAAACAAAAGGAAAAGTTTCATAGCATGTGAGGGATCATTTTAACATCAAAGGTCTTTCTTATTTGGCTAACAGTTACCTGCATATATTCTATGTCTTCCCTAATTTTGAGGAGGGAATTAGAGTTTCTTTTTCTTTGCATTATTTTTCCCTAGTGAATTACGTGGGATTGATAACCTAAAATCTGCAGGAAGGGGAGTCTGGGCATTGCAGCACTCTCCTGTAGGGGGTAAGAAGACTGCAACATTTTAGGAAAGAATTATAATTCAAGCACTGGTTAGAATAACTGACAAGGCCTAGCTGGTGGCCCGAGAGGGTGCGGCCTGGTGTCTATATCTGATATTGCATCTAGCCAATTAAATTCCTCCTTGTGTAATCAACACTGCCTCTGACTAGATAAAGGCACTACACCTTTGTGTGTGTGTGTGTGTGTGTGTGTGTGTTGGGGATAGCGGGTGTATGTGGAAGAGATAAAAATCATTGGGTGTTACGGTTACACTATAGTGGTTGAGGTTCTGAATTTCCAGGAAAGTTGAATTAGGATTAATCGGTCCTATGTTTTTTAGGACAAATGTAAATCTGTCAAACAATATGTTATTAATCGCAAACATTGATTGTTCTTCAGCTAAAGAAGAATCCAATCGACTAAATTTCAGTTATACTAGCGTAGGATATAGAAGGTGAATTTCTGGGAATTGCCCTTGGTGGGGGAATTGAGGGGATTAGAACAGAAAGTGGTCAATTGTGGGAACTGGGTGAACACTGATTCCATCTTGTGACTCAGTTCTGGAAGTAGCTCAGTTCCTTTTCTGTTCAATTATGGGTCTAGTTCAATTTCTGTCTTGTGAGAAAACTTTATTCAGTTGTGGGAATTGGGAGAAAACCTTATTGCGTTGTTTGAACCTAACCTCTGTGGCTGGGAACCTGGAGCACCTCCACCTGCTGCTTGGACACCGTTAACCAAAGACCAAAAAACCCAGCCAGACCCAAAGATGACGCAAGGAGTTTTCTCACAATTATAGATCTCAAGCAACCCATATGTCTTATCTGAAAACTGGCCCCACACTGATCAATCGGTTATTGTTGTTTACAGACACTTGAGGGGAGTAGGACACCTCTTTTTCTGAATTCAGGGAATTGCACACGTTTACTCTCCCTCTCCCAACTTGGAAAGTCTCTAATCTCCAATTAGAAATCAGATTACCTAGTGCTGTATTGTTTCCTTTTAATTAATTGATCTTCTTTGGTTAATTATTTTTAATGTATAAAAATATGTCTCTCCCCTCTTGTATTCGGGGTCCAGCCCTAAGCTGAGAAAGGGGCCTGGTCCTGATTTGTTAGGCAGCATTGCTTAATAAATTGATATGCTAGGAAGATAAAACCTTTTTTTTTTTTTCAGTTATTTCATCTTTCACCTGCCCCACTGGGAATGCCAAACTGAATTCTATGTATGAATGTGGAGCCAGAAAGGTGAAGACTGTGTAGGACATAATTATGTCCTACAGCTTGAAGACCCAATGCAGAAAATATTTTTAGCAGCTGCAGAGGAACTCTCAGGAATATTGAAGGGCAGACTAATAATACAATTCATGCTGCTTTTCTAACATAAAACTTCGTATGATCTTGCTGTTGATTTTAATATTTTGTGACTTGATGCTTGAAATTTCTGCTGATAAGACTTTCATCTGAGTAAATACATAAATAATAAATTTATAAATAAGCAAAATAAATAAAATAATTATTAAATAAATAAATAATTTAAAAAATGAACTATAGTATCCTAGTGGTACATGTGAAAATGACAGCAGGGTATATAACTCTCACAGCAGCCATTTTTCATTATTCAAGGATATACTAGTCATCCCTTTGCAAAATATCTTTACCTTTTTTTCTCCTTAGAGTCCCTAATAGGCTTTGATCATTAATACCATGGTATAGATTTATATTCATTGCATAGGATTTACTTTTTACTTTTTTTTTAAAACAATGAATTTAATCTGATGCTTTGAACGGGATAAAGAAATTAAAAGAACTCACGTCTCAACAATTGCACAAAGTCTTGGCATAAAAGATGCAGCAAGATGGCAGTTCTGGAGGAAGACCCATTGGCCTTTCTTTATTTTTGCCTTGTATATTATTTCTTCAGCTTTACTTCCCTGGCCACGTCCCAAAGAAATCATGGTCACATCATCTGTATTTCCTTTCATCTCCTGTGCAAATCTCAGCAGGAGAGTTGTGGGATCTAATCCTGTAAAACAATGTTTAGTATAACTCCATTAAGTTAAATTAAATTAAATGAGAGATATTTATTAAGTGCTTACATTGTGCATATAAGGTACTGTGCTGCGTACTGGGCATACAAAGATACATTTAGTTTTGTTTATCTTTTCTTTAGTCTTTTTGGTTTCCAGGTTTTCTATTTGTCCTCCAATTTTTATTTCCTCATTTTTGCTTATTTTAGATTTGTTTATTTGTTGGTTTTCTAATTTTAAAAATACATATTTTATTCATTAATCCTCTCCTTTTCTATTTTGTTAATATATATGTATTAGGGCTGTAATTCCCCTCCAAAGATTGCTTTAGCTACATCCCATAAATTTTGGTGGGTTGTTTCATCATTATCATTTTTTGTCCACATAATTATCATTTATTTCTATGACTTTTTCTTTGACCCACTCATTATTTAGGATTTCATTGTTAAATCTTCATTTGAGTCTAGGTCTTTTGTTTGTGCTCTCTGAACTGATTTCTATTTTATTGTATTATGATTTGTAAAGGATGCGATTAATAGTTTTGTTTTTTTTAACTTTTAATTGTAATATCTCTGCACCCTAATATATGGTCAGTTTTTGTCAAAGTTTCATGTGGTACTGAGAAATGCACATATTCTTTAGCAGTCCTATTTAGAAGATATTATGTCATAATTTAGCAATTTGGTCAATTACACATTTTCTTTTTTGTTTATCTTTCTGTTAGATTTGTATATAACTGATGGAGGGGCATTAAAGTCTCCTACTATTATTGTATTACTATGTCTTCTTCTTAAGTCAATTGATTTTTCCTTTTTTTATTATGAACTTAGATATAGATGGAGCAATAAGTTTAATATTGATATTGGTCTATTTGCCTACAGTTCCTATTAACATAATGGAGTTCCTTTATCTTTTTTTATGCTATGTTTTGTTTTTGGTCTGATAGCATGATCACAATTCTTGATTTTTTTTTCTATTTATGTGATCCATAGTAAATTTAATTTCAGCCCCCCATTTTTATTCTGTGTATGTCTTTGCTTTATAGGTATGTATCTTGCAAGCAACAGATTGTGGGATTTTTATTTTCTTATCCAATCTGTCACTCTTTCATTATATTGGCTTGTTTTGTTGTTGTTCAGTTGTTCACTTGTGTCTGACTCTACATGACTTTGTCCATGGGGTTTTCTTGGCAAAGATACAGGAGTGGTTTGCCATTTCTTTCTCCAGTGAGCCCCATTTTACAGATGTAGAACTGAGGCAAATAGGGGTTAAGTGACTTGTCCAGGGTCAAACAGTTTGTAAGTGCCCGAGGCTGGATTTAAACTAAGCTCTTCCTGACTCCAGCCAGTGCTCTATCCACTTAGCTCTCCCACTGGATTGTTTACTCCATTCATATTTAAAGTTATGATAATTATATTTATATTTTCTTCCATTTGTCTCTAATTTTTTTCTCAATTAGGATTTTTTTTGTTTCTACAATGATGAAAAATACAAAAGGTGAAAAATAATCATAGTAATTGACATTTATGTCATTTCATACCTTGTTAGTGAATGGATATAATAGCCCAACTGATATATAAAGAAGGCTTACTGATGGTAGAAGTAATGGGAAAAGAAAAGAGTGGATAGATGTAAGAGATATGAAGGAAGAATGAAAAGACTTGGCACCTCATTGGAAATGGAGACTGAAGGGAGAGTAAATAACTTTAAGGTTTTTAGCATAGGTGATTGTGGGTTTCCATGAAGAGAAATAGAAAAATTAGTAGGGGAGAGTTTTTTGACAAGTTGAGCTTTAGGTGAAGGATGAAGTTCAGAAGGCAATAGAAGATGGGGAAAGATAAGCCAGTAAAGAAACAGAGATGAAGCTAGTAATCCAACTCAACATATATTTATTAAGAATCTTGAAGTATATATTTCAAGTCCTTAAAATATACCAGATATGTGGCCCTGAACAAGTTATTTAACTTCTTGGGTGCTCACTTATATTGGTAGATGGAGTTTTCTCATCTGGGAGTTCCCTATGTTAATGAAATCATGGGTTCATATCTCTGTATGCTAGTGCTAGGCACTTAGGATATAGATTAATATACCTATATCTACAACCATATGTATGTATGTATGTATGTATGTATGTATGTATGTATGTATGTATGTATGTATCTATCTATCTATCTATCTACCTATCTTTCTATCTACTGACCTTAAGGAGCTTAGAGTAGGGGAGGAGAGGGGGTGATAGGCAGGGTGGGTGAAAGTGGTTAAAGTGCTGTAGGAAAATTTGAGGAAAGAGAGAATCTTTTCAGTTTGGGGGGCTTGGGGAAGGCTTTGTGAAAGAAGAGCAACCTGAGTGGAGGTATTCCAGGAATAGGTGACAGCTTGCATGAAAACAGAGGCCAAATACGGTTTGCTGAGATCAGAGAATAGTTGGAAGTGCATTTTGGAGCCAGACTGTAGGGGGTCCTTAAATGTCAGGCTAAAGAGTTTATATTTTATTCTAGAGGAAATCAGGAGCCACTGAAATTTCTGATGCATGTGGTTTTCCTCAGGAAAATGTGTTCCTTGTGGTCAGGGAACGGATTGTTTATTTGTTTGTTTTGTCTTTGAATTCCCAGGATCTTACCCAGTGCTTTGCACATAGTAGAAACTTAACAAATGTTTTTCAAACTGAAATGATTTTTTGAACAAGGGAGCAGCATGGTCAGACCTATATCTTACAAAGATTATTTTGGCAGCTATGGAAAGGATAGGCTGGAGATGGGGAAAACTAGAAGCAGGGGGTCTAGGAAGGAGGCTATTACAATGGTCCAGGTAGAAGATGAAAACCTGGGTAACTAATAGTGAGTAGAGGAAAAGAGATGGATATAAGACATATTGTATAAGTAGAATCCATATGAAGAAATAGTAATAATAATAACAATAGCTAGCATTTATAAAGTGAGCATTAGGTGCTTGATATGGTGCTAAGTGCTTTAAAAGTATCTCATTTGATCTTCACAACAATCTTGGGAGGGAGGTGCCATTTTGAGGAAACTGAGGCAGACAGAAGTTTGGTGACTTGTTCAGGTTCACACAGCAAATCAGTGTCTGGAGCTGGATTTGAACTCAAGTCTTCCTGACTCCAGACCCAGCACTCTAGCCACTGTGCCACCCAGCTGCCTATAGATGAAAGAGGATGGTGAAAGATGACTCCAAGATTTCAAGGCTTGGTGACTGGGAAGATGGTGTTGTCATTAACAGAAAGAGGGAAGTTGTAAGGAGGGACATGTTTAGGGCAGATGATGAGCTCAGTCATATTGAGTCAGAGGTTGGCACCTGAGACATACAGGTAGTTGAAGATGCAAGACTAAATTTTAGGAGAGATAATGGGCCTGGGTAAATAGATTTAGGGGTCAACTCCATAGTGGTCATAATTGAACTCATGGAAGTGGATGCAGTCATTAAGGTAGAGATTTTAGAGAGAGAAGAGGTCTAAGAGAATATAGGGTCAGGTTCTATATTCAAGGACTTGAATATATTCACTTAAAAATTGGGAGAAGGGTAATGATCCAGTAAAGGACAGCAAGGAGGAATAACGGACAGAAATAGAAAATCAATAGAAATAGAGTGAAAAAGGACAAGAAGAAAGGCATGTCACAGAGAGTGAAGGCAGGAGAAAATGTAGAAGAGGAAGAGATGGGGTGGTCCACAGTGTCAAATACATGGGAAGGATTTAGGAGGAAGAGGAAGAGGAGGGGCATTACCATCCATAAGTTCATAGAATTTACAATTTTTAGGGTCTTTAGAGAATATCTTGTCCAAACTTCTCATTGCAGATATGGGGAAATGGGGGCATCAAAGGATGAAGTGATTTGCCCAAAATCATACGGTTCCTTAGTGACAGAATGGGAACTCTATTTTGACATTTCCAGATTGGTAAGCCAGTGTCATTCCAGTTGCACTTTTTCCTCATGAGGTGCATTTGTCCACAGATATAAAGTATGATAATCAATACCTTTCATAAATGCAATACTAATCCCGTACCTCATGTCACTAATAGAGTTTTCCGAAAATCCTCTATTCTATCTGGGTGTGGTGGTGTGCATTTGTAGTCACCACTACTGGGGAGAATGAGAATCTTAAAGATTAATAATCAATATATTTATAAAAAGCTCACCATGAGAATGGATGAATATTAGTGGAATTCTGGCATTAGATTCTCTAAACACTTCCTTTAAATTAATTCCAGCTGTATTAAGATAATTACTTCCCAATTTTTCAGTAACAAATTTTTGCACGGAATTATTTAAAGATTCTGGCTTAAGGATTTTTATCTAAAAAGGAATAAAGTGGAAAAATGAATAAATGCAAACATCATCTAGAGGAATGTCACCTCAAATAAAAATGCAATAGGAACATGCTTATAGTAATTCAGTATTAGCTCTCAGTTTTTCTTCTAACCTAATATTCTCCTTATTTGTCCTTAATACTTCCACCAAGGGCATACCCAGCTTGGTGTGAGTGGTGGAGATTACTTTAGGGGGACTAATTGCCACTGTTCCTGACAGAGCCTATGGCTGTTCAGAACTACATCCCTAACTTTCACATTTGCCAGCTGAGGACCCTGTCCTGTATGCAAAAATCCCACATGGCAAGAGTTTTTGTTGGCTCTTTCCTTGTGCACACCCATATTCCTGAAGCTAGCAGTATGTGTTTCAATAATAATAATAATAACAATGACAATAACCTACTATATGCTAGGCACTCTGCTTTACACATATTATCTCATTTGATCCACACAACAACCCTGGGAGGCAGGTGCTATTATTATCCCCATTTTAAAGTTGAGGAAACTGATGCAAACAGAAGTTCAGTGACTTGTGGGAGGTCACACAGCAGGTAAGTGTCTGAGGCTAGGTTTGAACTCAAGTCCACCCTAGTGGACTAAGGCCCAGCTCTAACCCTAAACTCTAAACAAAGTAGGTTTTAGACAGTAATACTAGCTTATAAAGATAAAATATACAAGTTTCACAGTACTGGAAAAATAATTTTTTGCTGCTGTTCCATTCTGTTGCCTTCTTGTGATGTGGCACCTCTGAGGTTTCAAAGACTATGTCAATGGAGTGGAAGCTGTGGCAGTCTCTAACCAAGCTGGAGGGACCCAGGGGTAGACTTGAAATCACATCCCTGACACTGACTGGTGGTGGTGGTGGTGGTAACTGTAGACTGCTGTAGGGACCACCCTTGAAGGCTGCCATTTCTGACTGGGAACCTGCCTTTCTGATGAACTGCTGGCCTGGGCTGAGCCATTAACATGGCTTCACCTACTGGCCAACATGCAGCATTGCACATCTTTTCCTTACTAGGAAAAAATTATAGAATCATATGTGTAATAACTACATGCATTATCTACTACCACAACACGTAGGAAGGATCAATGTACCATAATGGGGTCCTGGAAACATTAAAATGATTTCTTACTATCAGAAATAACTGGTCCCTTTTCATATTTTAATTCACATAGTTGCCTCTTCCTTTATGAGTATTTTTTTCATCATCCAGGGGTATTGCTTTTATTTCTATTTTAACCAATGCTTTAGTGGGTGGGAGAGTTTGGAGAAATGATGTTGTTTGGCAGAATTGAATTCTCTTTGGCTTCTGAGCAAACATAAACCTCCTTGGGGTACCTCTAATTACCTCTTTTCCTTTCTTCTCATCTTTTCTTCTCCTTAGGATACGGAGAGGTACTGGATCTGGGATTTTATTGGTATAGGAAACTCCACCAGAGCAGTATATGCCTTCACTGCAATTTATAGCCTTAGATGGTTAGTGATTCAGGGCCCTGAGAGGTTAAGTGATTTTCCAGGGACGTATTTGTCAGAGGTGATCCTGAAGTCGGGTCTTAGGAGCTCTGGAACCAGCTCTTTATTTCCTACAAAATGCTGCCTGTCTTCTTCTTCTTCTTCTTGTTTATTGACTCATGTCTGAGTCTCAATGACTCCGTTTGGGATTTTCTTGACAAAGACACTGGAGTGGTTTGCCATTTCCTTCTCCAGGTGATTTTACAGATGAGGAAACAAGTAAACAGGGTTAAGTAACTTGCCCAGGGTCACATAGCTGGTAAATATCTGAGGCCCTATTTGAACTCAGGAAGATGAGTGTTTCTGACTTCCAGGTCCAGCACTCTATCCACTACACCACCTAGCTGCCCCACTGCCTGTCTTACGTCTCCTTAGTGACCTCCTTTTTTCTTCATCATATCTCAGAGTGATCACTTCAGAAGTTCTGATTAGAGATAGTTGAGGGGAAGGCACTTAATTCTTTTTTCTTTACCTCAAGTCTTATATTTAGAACATATTGCTAACTTGCCTCAGAAGGGTTCTATGAAAATTAATGCCTTTTTTTAGTTGCTAAATTGAAAGTATCTTGAGTTCTTGAGTGGAAGGTGATATTGAAAGTGTTAAATGATTTGAAAAGCATCGTGAAAGCATGATTTCTGAGATGTGAAAGGCCTAGGAAATGTTCCCTAGGCTGTCATGAGGCAAGGGATTGAGCAGGGGGAATTGTCTCCCATTCCCAGAGATGATTGTTTATGTCTTTCCTGCCAGGAAAAGATTATAGAAATTATATGGATAATATGTATAAGCATTATCTATTTCCCTAACACTCAGGGAGTCAGATGAAATGATTGAGAGAAGGGAATCCATTTTTACCCCCAATTCCTATTCAACTTAAAAGTGCCAGTGACTATGATAAAAAAAAAAGCCCTTCGATTTTATAAGAAGAAGAAGACTTCTGGTACTGCCACGATCTGCGTTCTTATGTTTGCCTTGCAAAAATGTTAGTTTTGAAGAATTTAAAGTTGGTAATCTAGTGCCTAAAAGATTAAAGATTCTTATATTTCTTGTCACACATCTTACCATTATAAGTCTTTGAAATGAAGTGAGTTTCTCCCAGGGGAAGATTATTTCACAAGACTCTGGTTCTTCTAAATCATTTTCTGGATTAAGATTTAGAAGAGAAAATTGAGATGAAAGGACCAATCATTTAAGTCATTAAGATAAGACATTGTAAGAGTAAGTTCTTTTAAAAAAATTTTGAGTCATACAATTTTAAAATTTAGTAACTTTAAAATTAAGCTTTAGCTTCTCCTTCTATTTCTTCTGTATTCACTCCTTATTACTGTTCTCTATAAAGTATTCCTTGCTTGAGAGCTTGGGGGAATGATTGACATGCTTTGCCTACTTCCTGCTGATATGGAAAGCTATGACTCCCGGGTATTATAATCAGTTGACACGCTGTTTCTATAAACCTTGGGATGAGGGAAGTCTCTCAGAAAAAAAAAAGTCATTATTATGTGAGGAAGTTGGGAAATTTCTTACAATAATTGTAAAAACTCATTTATATAATGCCGTAAGGTCAATGGGAAGCAACTGGCATACTGAATAGAAAGGACTTTGGATCCAGGGAGACCTGGGTTGAAGACCCAACTGTAACAAACTGTCTAGGTGACCTCTAAGGGCCCCAGGCAAATTTCTAAGACTATGAGTTATGTAACAGTTGTTAATCTGCCTCTAGTTGATCTGCAGGACTCTCTGTCATCATTCTTCAATAGGCAGCTGCAGACATTCACCATCTTCAACCCCTGATTTGACTGGGTGGAATGGTACTCTCTTCAATTGAAGTGTTATAGAACTCTTTTCCAATGGAATGTGTTCTTTCTGCTAAGCTAGGGGTTGGCAAACTACGGCCCATGGGCCAAATTTGTCTGCTTTCTGTTTTTATATAGCCCCATGAGCTAACAATGGTTTTCACATTTTAAAATAAAGTTTTATTAGAACACAGCCACAATCATTTATTTACATATTGTTTGTAGCTGCTTTCATCTAAAGTAGCAGAGTTGAGCAGCACTACAAATTGCAATGACAGTTATAATTCAACAGTGTTTTGGGTGCCATATGTATTTCTGTGCTGCAATATTTTATTATTTATTTATTTTTATTACAAGTGCGTACCCATCATATCAAAGCAGGAAAAGAACGGGAGAAGTTATTATGATTTTTTTCAGCACAAGGATGGGATTGAAATTTTTCTTAATGAGAAGAACCACCCTCAACTACTAGTACTAAACACTACATAGCTTTGAAAATTAACTTATAGTATAGACTTGATAACAATTTTTAATTTCATCTAAAATCAAGCGAAAACAGCACTTATGTATGGAAAACCTATACTGTAGTGATGTCAATTGGTGATGACTATTGTTTGAATTAGAAGCAGCTTTATACACTTCCAAATGTGTCAAAAGTTCAAATGAGAAGCAAGATGTCCATTCCCACACAAATTTGCAGATGACGTATTTTCCAAGCTGAAACTACAGTTCTAGCAGAATCTTGACACGAGTGCAAAGAAATCTCCATATTTCAAAATATATTTAACTGTATAATAAGTAGTCTTACTATAACACTGACAGAAAAAGTTTGCTGACCTCTGGTCAGCAGATTAATGATTAATGATAGATTAACAGCTGTTTCACATAAAATTTTACATAAAATGAGGCGTAAATATGATCATAGGGTCACAGATTTAGACTTGGCAGGGACCTCAGAGGCCATCTAGTACAAACCCATTTTATGGATGAGGAAACTGAGGCATGAGGCAGTTAAGTGGATTGTTCGTATCAGTTGGTTCATTTTAAGTGGTCAGTTATCCTTTTCTTTTTTCTGTAGTTTGAGATGTCAACCAGCCTCAGTTTATAGCTTGAGCCTATTAATTTATGCATTAGATTTTTTTAATTTGAGAAAGATAATTTCTTACCTTCTTTTTCTCCTTTTTGTTCCTGTTGTAATTTTGGAGAAGTGTAAGGTTTGCTCATTAGAAAATATGTACGTTTATAGCTCCTAAAGTCATCCCATTGTGATTTATTTGATAAAAGAGATTGACATAAAAGAGAAAATGGTTGTAAGTGATGGCTGATGAACTGGCACTCTTTCCACCTGCATTCAGAAAGCCAGAAAAGATGCTCGGCTTTTCTGAGTTCATATAAATCTAACAATGGAAAAGAAACATGAATCTCATTAGAAAATAATGATCAAATAACTATTGATTAGAGAAATGCAAATCAAAACAACTCTGGGGTACCACATCACACCTATCAGATTGGCTAACATGACAAAACAGGAAAATGACAAATGCTGGAGAAGATGTGGGAAAATTGGAACACTAATGCATTGTTGGTGGAGTTGTGAAATGATCCAACCATTCTGGAGAGCAATTTGGAACTGTGCCCAAAGGGCTATAAAAATGTGCATACCTTTTGACCCAGCAATACCACTTCTAGGACTGTATCCCAAAGAGATCATACACTTGGGAAAAAGACCCACATGTACAAAAATACTTATAGCAGTTCTTTCTGTGATGGCCAAGAATTGGAAATTGAGGGAATGCCCATCAACTGGGGAATGGCTGACTAAGTTGTGGTGTGTGAATGTAATGGAATACTACTGGGCTATAGGAAATGATGAGCAAGCAGACTTCAGAAAAACCTGGAAGGACATACATGAACTGATACAGAGTGAAATGAGCAGAACTAGAACATTGTACACACTAACAGTCACACAGTAGGAAGTTAATACATGTTTACAGAATTGAAAATTGAATTGAATTATCAATAACCTTCCTCTGTATAATTTCTATAATTTCATCATAGTTGATTTTTAAAATTTGCTTTTAAAAAAATTTCTTTTTACAAAGTGTTCCTATTTCCCCTTGCTCCCTGGTAGTGCTTCTATGTGTGTTTCCTATTTGTCCTTTTGACAAGGACAAGAGACATAGGTCAAGAGACAGAGTTCTGGGGTTGGTATTCATTGTTGACAGCTGTCCTCAGGTTTGTCCGATTAGATTCCTGTCTCTCAGAGCCTCCTATGGATACCAAGAAAGAATACAAAGAAATGACACACTCTCTTTTTGTTGTTTTTGCCTTATATTTCATTTATGAATTCATCCAACTCCCTAAAATCTGTATGGAACTTTTTGCTACTTTTTTTCATTTATTATTTTCATCTATTCTCCATCAGCTTTTGGCTTCTCTATTCAGACTGATTCAGCATCATGCCTTACCAATAAGTGACTGTCATCTAGTGGTGAAAGAAAGCAACTATGAGCTATTCAGTGAGCGAATGTTTTGAAGGTTCAGGGATCTCACCTAATTCAAGTACTCCTTCTATCTCTGTAGTCCATCTTATAATAAGTCTTCTTTTTCTGTGTGATCTTTGTTCTCATTCTTCCACAGATCCTCCATGGAGGATCCACAGAGGCAGTTAGGTGGTGTTCTAGTGTATAGAGCATTGATCCGGAGTCGGGAAGACATGACTTCAGATTTGAATTCAAATGCTTACTAGTTATGTGACCCTGGAAAAGCTACTTAACCTCTCCTTGCCTTAGTTTTCTCATATGTAAAATGATAGTGATAATAATTACTCCTAGGGCTGTTGCGAGGATCAAATGAGATATTTGTAAAGTGCTTCATATAGTGCTTGCCACACAGTAGGTGCTACATCAGTTTTTTTGTTGATATTCAGTCGTGTCTGACTCTTCATGACCCTGTTTGGGGTTTTCTTGGCAGAGAAACTGGAGTGGTTTGCCATTTCCTTCTCTAGCTCATTTTACAAGTGAGGAAACTGAGGTGAATAGGGTTAAGTGACTTGCCCAGGGTCACACAGTTAGTACGTATCTGAGGCCAGATTTGAACTCAGGTCCTCCTGACTCTAGGCCCAGCACTCTATATACTTTGCCACCTAGCTGCCCTATATAAATGTTAGCTATTATTATATTATTATACAATCCATCCAACAATATTCTAGATTAGGTCTCTTTCTTCTAGGTTTTCCCTCCCTGCATTTTAAGGGTATCAATTGAATACTAAAATCTCTTATCCTTTACTCATTCATGTCAATCAACTGGCCTACTTTTCTAATGTAAGCTCTAGGTCTACTATGCTGGAAAAGTTTGATTATGGGTCCCAGGCAGGGGTACATGAGTACATGTTTAATAACTAGCCTTACTGGGGGAAAATGTACACAAGGTACATTTTTAAGTCTAAGCTACATCATTAACATTTTCTCTATCAATTCCTTAAATCTAGAAATCAAACAAAGAATAAATCAAGTCCTGATTTGTAGTGTTTGCCAATTTCTGAGGTATAAACTCTCAGAATGAAAATTTAACAATCAGTTCTCAGAGCTGGTAAAAGTCAGCTCCGACACATCTGTAGTCCCAGAAACAGATTGTCCGCTCTCTGAATGCCAACCTAAAAATGAAGAGGGTCATCACCAATTTGACCTCCAGGCAATCAGTTCTTTGGCCACAGCAAGATATAAATCAAAGATAAAATAAAGGAATGGCTTTCAGTCTCATAAAGTCTCTTTGCCACTTCACACTAATAGTTGTAGAGTGGTTAAAAAGGGACTGAGGTGGCTAAGAATCATTGGCTTTCCATTTTTAGAGAAACTATCCAAGGATGCATTCATTGACAGGTACTGCTGCCAATCGAAAACTATTAACACACAGAAACACTTTAAAAACTGGTTTATTATGCTCAGAAAATAGACCCACAGTATGCAAAAAACAGTGGACCCTGACAAGAAGTTTTAAGCTACTTTATATAGGTTTTGGTTACATAGGCACGATGGGTACAAAGGAGTTTTATAGAAGGCAGAAAGGGAAGGTAAAGATTTTCATGTCAAAGAGCCGATAGAAGAATGGGAAGATGTGTATTAAGTTAAAACCGGTCAGTAAACCCTGGGAGTACTTAGGTGGCTCAGCGAATAGAGCACTGTGCTAGAGTCAGGAAGACCTGTGCTCAAAACCAGCCTCAGACACTTACTAGCTGTATGACCCTGGGCAAGTCATCTAACCTCTGTTTGCCTTGACCCACTGGTGAAGGAAATGGCAAACCGCTCCACTATCTTTGCCAAGAAACTCTCCTGGACAGTATGGTCCACAAGGTCACGAGGAGTCGGACATAGTTGAACAACAACAACAACAAACAGTGAGGATATAGCTAGAATTTGTAGACTAACTACTAATACTGAAGCTGTAGTTATGTGCTTGAAATAGAGATAATAAAGCAGAGCCAGAAATTCTCTTGTCATTAACTAGTTAATCACCTGAGCTAAAGTTTGAAGTCTTAGATAAATTCTGCAAGCTCCAGTCAGTCATGTGACCTGCTGTTTTAAGCAAATGGTAGTAGTAAAGCCAAGTCAGAAAAAATCTTTACTAACACTGTACCTAGAGAAAGAATATGGTTGTTGTTTTTCTAGGGTTCTGCTTTCCAATTGAGTTTTGGGGAACGAATGGCAGAAAAGCAATATCCGTCTGCAGTTATTTTTTATTCTATGTTTAGTATAGTAAAGAAGCTAGGGCAATTGAACTCTGCTGACAAGAAGACAGCCCTCTTCCCTCCCTCTCCTTGTATTGAGTTTGCCTGTAGTCAGCACATAAAAATAGGGAGAAGCAAAACTTCTTGGCTAGTGTTTTCCAGGATGCCTGATACGCTATGGCTGTGCAGTCACGATTCCTGAAAGACAAGAGCTGAAGCCTCTTTGTGGTAGAATGGTGCAGCTTTGGAGATCCGGTGTTTTGGATGTGACGCCCTGGGTGCTTGGGTTTGTGCACACTTGTGTTGTGCGTGTCTGCAGAATTCTCATGTACTCGGCTGTGCTGTGAATTGCTGGTCCTGGGTAGGTCTACGGGAGCACAGAAGAGTTTGGACGGTGATGAATCTGGGTCACAAGGTCAGGGACAGCAGCTGCATCCTTGACAATACCTTCAGGGCTCCATGCTCTCCCCCACCCTATTTTCCTGTCAGAAGTCATGAGATCCTAGCACTAAGACTACAAACATGATAATATGATGTCAAACACCTGTAGGGCAACTGAATCAATTAAATCAATTGTTTGAATATTTCCAATTGTCAGGCTATTTGGCATTATGTAGCCAAAATGGTTAGCTGAATTTTTAGTTTTTGTCTGTCATATGTAATACATTCTTGGAAAAATTTGCTCTTAAAATAATGACCTACCTGTCCCCAGAACCTTTTGTGAGAATGTTGGGGTTCTTGTAGCATTCATTTAAAAAATGTCACTAAAATGTAACATAGACATATATTCCTGACTAGTTAAATAATTCCACATGATATTTCAATCTTATCTCTTATTAAAATACACTAAATGTGAGAATATCTTTTTGATAAGAATAAGATCTTTATTCTGTCTTTTTTTCAGTTTAGATTTTTTTTTTGGCTAGGCAATGGGGTTAAGTGACTTGCCCCGGGTCACACAGCTAGTAAGTATTATGTGTCTGAGGCTGGATTTGAACTCAGGTCCTCCTGAATCCAGGGCTGGTGTTCTATCAACTGTGCCACCTAGCTGTACCCAGTTTAGATATTTTTAAAAGGATTTTTTTTTCAAAAGAAAGAGGAAGAAAAGTCATGAAGGATAGATAGGTTTGTCTTCTGATGGTCTCCAATCCAGTACCCTCTACCTCCTCTTACCAGAAGTAGGTATTATGGCTTGCATTTTAGCATTCCAACCGAAATAACCTTAATTATAGTAGTCATTTGAAATTTGTTCATTTAAAATTGTTCACTGACTCCCTATTGTGTACAAGGCATTGAACTAGGTGCCATGGAGAATACAAAGATGAATCAGACTTGGTCTAGTCTTGCCCAGAGGAAGTTTACAGTCTGAGCTTAGTGCCATAGTCACAGTTCTTAAAGGGAGTATAAATACTAGTGATTACAAACTCCCCTTTTATGGGACTGATTCAAATACCTTCTTTACAACATTACAAAGGCTTTTAGTAAGGTCATTGTCTTTTACTTACCTTTCTTTTTTTCTTTTTTTTTTATTCATGTCTTTTGATTTATCAACATTCACTTCCATATGCTTTTGAGTTTAAAATTTTTCTCCCCCTTCCTCCCTACCACCCTCCCCAAAATGGTGCACTGATATAGGCTATACATATACATTCCTATTAAACATATTTTCACATTAGTGATGTTTAAGTAAAAATTAGAACCAATAGGAGGAACCACCAGAAAGAGGAAACAAAACTCAACAGAAGAGAAAAAAATAGCAATTCAAATTCCATAGTTGTTTCTTTGGATGTGGATAGCATTTTCCATCACGAGGCCTTTGGAGATGTCTTAGATCCTTGTATTGCTGGAAAGGGTTAAGTTTATCAATATTAGTCATCACACAACATGTCTGTTATTGTGGACAACATTCTCTTGATTCTGCTCACTTTACTTAGCATCAGACCATACAAGTCTTTCCAGGTTTTTCTGAAGTCAGCCTGTTCATCATTTCTTATAGCACAATAATATTCCATTACATTCATATACCACAACTTGCTCAGTCATTCCCCAATTGATGGGCATCCTCTCAGTTTCCAATTATTTGCCACTATGAATATTTTTGTACATGTGGGTCTTTTTCCCATTTGTATGATCTCTTTGGGATATAGACCTAGAAGTGGTATTGCTGGGTCAAAGAGTATGCACATTTTTATAGCCCTTTGGGCATAGTTACAAATTGCTCTCCAAAATGGTTGGATCATTTCACAACTCTACCAACAATGCATTAGTGTTCCAATTTTCCTACATCTTCTCCAGCATTTATAATTTTCCTGTTTTGTCATGTTGGCCAATCTGATAGGTGTGATGTGGTACCTCAGAGTTGTTTTGACTTGCATTTCTCTAATCCATAGTGATTTAGAGCATTTTTTTATATGACTATAGATGGCTTTAATTTCTTCATCTGAGAACTGCCTGTTCATATCCTTTGACCACTTATCAATTGGGGAATGACTTGTATTCTTATAAATTTGACTTAATTCTCTATATATTTTAGAAATGAGGCCCTTATCAGAGAGACTGGCTGTAAAAATTCTTTCCCAATTTTCTACCTTCCTTCTAATCTTGGTTGCATTGGCTTTGTGTGTGCAAAAACTTTTCAATTTAATGTAATCAAAGTTATCCATTTTGCTTTTCGTAATGTTCTCTATCTCCTATTTGGTCATGAATTCTTCTGTTCTCCATAGATCTGATAGGTAAACTATTCCTTGCTCTCTCAGTTTGCTTATGGTATCAGCCATTATATCTAAATCATGAATCCATTTTGACTTAATTTTGGAATATGGTGTGAGATTTTGGTCTTTGCCTAGTTTCCCAGTTTTCCCAGCAGTTTTTTTCAAAGAGTGGGTTCTTATCCCAGAAGCTAGGGTCTTTGGGTTTATCAAATAATAGATTACTATAGTCAGTGACTACTGTGTCTTGCATATTTAACCTATTCCACTGATCCACCACTCTGTTTCTGTACCAAGCAGTTTTGATGATTGCTGTTTTATAATACAATTTAAGATCTGGAATAGCTAGGCCACCTTCCCCTGCATTTCTTTTCATTAGTTCCCTTGATATTCTGGACCTTTTGTTCTTCCAAATAAATCTTGTTATTATTTTTTCTAACTCTATAAAATAATTTTTGGTAGTTTGATTGGTATGGCACTGAATAAGTAAATTAGCTTAGGTAGAGTTGTCATTTTTATTATATTAGCTCAGCCTACCCATGAGCAACTGATGTTTTTCCAATTATTTAGATCTGACTGTATTTGTGTGAAAAGTATTTTGTAATTGTGCTCATAGAGTTCCTGGGTTTGTTTTGGGAGATAGATTCCTAAATATCTTATATTGTCTACATACTTACCTTCATTTTTAATCTGGGGTAATTTCTCCTCAATATTTATTAGTAGGCTAGAGTATAAGAAGATGTTCCATTCTTCCTCGGGCAAACATTCTGTACTATTTAGGATTTGAGATCCATCACAATTATTTTGCAAGATTAAGGTGCAAAGCCGGAAGGAGAAGCAAAGTTTGTTTTCATTAAACAGTGCTGAGGAAACGACCTGGTGGAAAAAGGCAACTGTAGGACCAACAGAGCCAATAAAAGGCATTTGAAAATTCACAGACACAGACACAGACACAGAGTCTTACCTTATAAATGCTTTCTGTTAATACCTCGACTAAATCTGCAATATAATTATTAAAGCCATCTCTGTCCTTCAGAGGGTCAGGCTTATTGTCTTGGTACTTCCGCAGTTTCTCAAATACTTGCACGTTTCTTAAAACTGAAGCAAACTGAGCTGTTTCTTCAACATCATCAGATTTGTAGGTTACAGACATCACAAACATCTCCCGGAACCAGTCTAGAGAAAATTGGTACATATAGTTGATCTGTGCCAGATCTGCTACTAAAAAATATAGCAAGGCACCTCGCGTTGCAATGGGAAGATAGTTTTTGCGGGTCATCTGAAATTCACTTTCAGTTTTTTCTGCTGCCTTGATGCGTTCTGAAACTTCGGTGGATGTCAGTTTGGATTTTTTTAAATTATCTATAATGGCTTCATCATCTAATATACATCCTAAAGGAAAGTAAAAAGTTGATTTCAATGAAAATCATGGTTTTATTAGACTGTTTTCTCTTTCTGTATTTTTCATGTAGGAATTTTTGTATTAATTAAAAAATACATCTTTGTTCATATCTTTTGCTTTTACATTACCTAAATTTCTACAAGAATCCCTTGACTTCACCCCATATAACAAATCACTCCATATAACAAATAGTATTTTAAAGCAAAAGAAAAGGGAAAATAAAACCTCAGCAAAATTGATCAATAGATTGAAAAAAATCTAAAAATATTTGCAAGTCTGCAAAGGGTGAGAGGAAATATCTTCTCATATATACTCCTTGGGGTTATGCTTGTTCTTTGTAATTCTGTTACATTTAAGTTTTTAAAATGTTTTTATTGATATCTTTTTTTACATTACCATACCCCTAGTATTCTTCCTCTTCCCAGAGATTCACCCTATATAATAATATTAGTTTTAAAAGACCCCCAAGGAAAAAGAAAAAAATTAGCAAAACTAATCGATACAATAAAAAATGTGAAAATATGTGTAATGTACTATACTCATGGACTTCCCACTTCTGCAAAGCGATAGGGTGAGAGTATCTTCTCATCTCTCTTTTTTGTAGCCATATTTGTACTTTTTATTTCTGCAACATTCACTTGTGATTTGTCAGTAGTCCTTTCTGTTTACATTGTTGTGGTCAGTGTATGCGTTGTTTTCCTGCCTCTGCTTCCTTCACTCTGCAACAGTTCATGTAGATTTTGCCATGCTTCTCTGTAGTCACCATATTTGTTATTTCTTATAGTGCTGTAATATGCCATTATATCTTTTTACAACCCCAGTGCTTAGCACAGTGCCTGGCATATAATAGGCATTAATAAATATTTATTAACTCACTGTTGACTATATTCACATGTAGGGTAGCTAGATGGAAGTCTACGCCTGGAGTCAGAAAGACCTGAATTCAAATCTGGCCTTAAATACCTATTAGCTGTGTGACCGGGACAAGTTACTTAACCTCCCATTTCCCTCAGTTTCCTCATTTATAAAATGAACTAGAGAAAGAAATGACAAACTACTCCAGTTTTTTTTTGCCAAGAAAACTCCAAATGGGGTTATGAAGAGTCAGACATGACTGAAACAACTGAACAACAATAAATATTCATGTATGACAATTTGTTTAGCCTTTTCCCAATTGATGGACATCTATTTTGTTTCCAATTCTTTGCTATCACAAAAAGTGCTGAAATAAAGATGTTGGTGTATATAGAAACTTTCTTCTTATCAGTGGTCTCCTTGGGGTAGATGCCTAGTAGAGAATCTCTAGGTCAAAGGGTACAGACATCTTAGCTATGTTATTTGGATAATTCCAAATTAGACAATTTCCAAAATGTTCATACTATTATTCAATATCACACTAGAAATGCTAGCTATAGCAGTAACACAAGAAAAAGAAATGAAAGGAATAAGCACAGGCAATGAAAAAACAAAACTATCACTTTTATAGATAATATGATGGTAGATTTAGAGAACCCTAGAAAGTTAACTAACAAACTAGCTGAAACAGCTAACATCTTTAGCAAAGTTGAAGGATGTAAAATAAACACACATACATCATTGGCATTTCCATATATTATGAACAAAATCCAGCAGTGAAGGATAGAAAGAGAAATTCCATTTAAAGTAACTACAGACAGAATAAAATACTTGGGAATCTACCTGTCAAGACACACACAGGAACTGTATGAACACAGCTACAAAACACTCTTTACATAAAGAAAGACAGGTCTAAATAATTGGAGAAATATTAATTGTCCATGAATAGGTTGAGCCAATATAATAAACATGACAGTACTAACTAAATTAATTTACTTATTCAGTGCCACATTAATCAAACTACCAAGTAATTACTTTGTAGAACTAGAAAAAATAATAAAATTTTCGAGGAATAAAAGTCAAGAATGTCAAGGCAATCATGAAAAAAAAGAGCAAAGGAAGGCAATCTCAAACTATCCTTCAAAGCAGTTATCATCAAGACAATCTGGTATTGGATAAGAAACAGAATGGTTAATCAATGGACTGGATTAGATACACAATGTACAGAGGCAAATGTACACAGTAACCTAATGTTTCATAAACCCAAAGATCTAAGCTACTAGGGCAATAATTTGCTATTTTAAAAAAATTATTTGGAAAACTGAAAAGTAGTTTGGCAGAAAATTGGGCACAGACCAACATCTCACACCATATGCCAAGATAAGCTCAAAATGGATACATGATTTAGATATAAAGCATGATATCATAAGCAAATTAGGGGAGCATGGAAGAAATTACCTATAACATCTATGCATAAAGGAAGAGTTCTTATCCAAACAAGAGACAGATTGACAAGAGGTAAAATGGATAATTTTGAATACATAAAATTAAAAAAGTTTTCACACAAACAAAATCACTGTAGCCAAAATTAGAAGAAAAGCAGGAATCTTGGGGAAAAAATTTACAGCAAGTTTCTCTGATAAAGGTCTTATTTCTCAAATATATAGAGAACTGATGCCTATCAATTGGGGAATGGCTGAACAAGTTGTGGTATATGATTATAATGAAATATTACTGTGCTATAAAAATGATGAGTAGATTGATTTCAGAAAAACCTGGAAAGAGTATATGAACTGATGCAAAGTGAATTGAGCAGCATCAGGAGAACATTGCACTCAGTAACAGCAATAAAATATGATGATCACCTGTGAATGACTTAGCTATTTTTAGCAACACAATGACCCAAGACAATTCCAGAGGACCATGATGAAAAATGCTATCTACCTCCAGAGAAAGAACTGATGGAGTTTGAATGTAGATTAAGGTATACTATTTTTCACTTTCTGTGAAAAATTTTCATTTTCTTTTTTGTGTTTTTTTCCTTTGAGTCTGTGTCTTCTTTCACAACATGACTGCTGTGGTAATATGTTTTCCATGATTGAACTTGCATAACCTATATCCAATTGTTTACCATTTTAGGAAGGGAGAGGTGAAAGAGAATTAAGGACATACATGTTGTTTTATTTTTGTTCCCAATCAATGTCAAAGGGCTCAGAAGAAAAAGGCAGGTTTGGGAAATGAACAGCTGGTTAAGAAGATGGTGGCTGGGAAAGGAATTTGGATTTATGGACCACAACTTAAATGTAAGGGACGGAGTGTGACTAATACACCCAGAATCCAGGGGCATTGATTAATTAGTTACTTTAATTAATTAGTTAATACACCCCCTGGACCATTACCGCTGAATGTGACTGGTCTAACTGCTCTACTGTTGGACGACCGCTTTGCAGGCTGGACCAGGCAGAGCATTTGGCCACTGGACTTGAGAGAGGACTTCTCTGCTGGACAGGTTGATGTGGTAGTCTTGAGCTTGCTCTTTTTTTGAGTATCTACAATCCTTTTCCATATTATGCCACTGGCTCTGTTGGGTGGTAGAGTCCTCTGAATAACTGTAGCATCACCATGATTTCTTTCAGCTGGAGTGTGACGATACTCTTTTAGGTAGGGCAATGATGCTTAGCTTAGGATATGTAGAAGTTTCTTTTCTTGAGTCCCTCAGAGCCTCACCTCTAAACTTGTTTGTTAATTCCAGGAAGAAGATGTGAGAAGCTTACATGATGCCTTAGAGTAGCGTTTGACAAACTATGGGCTCCAGGATAAATCCAGCCTGCTGCTTATTTTTTAAAATTTGTTTTTAAATAGTCTGTAAGCTGGAGTGTACAGGTATTTAGGAAAGACTAGTACCTTTGGTGTGAGGGCTACTGAACCCTTTTCAGGGCTGCTTTCCATCTTTGGTGTCCACCTGATTCACTGAACTCTCACCTGAGGCTCCAAGAAGCTGTAGCATATGCTACATGTAGTAGGTGCAGTGGCCACACCCCTATAAACCTTTTCGGCAGGTGGGCAGATTGAAGGTAACCAAGGGGTCTCAAAGTTCTGGGTCCAGAGATGTATACATAGATAATGTGGTTGATGCACACATTGCCAGAGCTCGCTTAGTGTTTGGGAGGCTCCAAAGGAAAGTGTGGGAGAGATGAGATAGGTTGCCTACTGAACTGAAGGTGTACAGAGCTGTTGTGCTAACCTCATTGTTGTATGCCTTGAAACTTGGAAAGTCTACCAGCACCATGCCAGGAAACTGAATCACTTCCATCTGAATTGTCTTACGAAGATTCTGAAGATCACTTGACAAGATAAGGTACTGGACATCGAGGTCCTTTCTTCAGCTGAACTGCCAAGCATTTAAACTCTACTGTAGAGAGCACAATTCTGAGGGGCTAGGCACGTTGTTTGAATGCCAAATGTATGTTTGCCTTCACATACGACAAGTACTCACCTGGAGGTCAGAAGAAGCTATACAAAGACACTTTCAAGTTCTCTTTGAAGAACTTTGGAATCAGTTGTGAGACAGAGGCATGGTACTACTTCACATGGCATGTCCACATCAAAGAAAGCACTGTGCTGTATGAGCAAAGCGGAATTGCAGAAGCTCAAAAGAAAGGTGAGATGTGCAAATTTGGAGACATCTCCACTCCAAATATTCATGTAGACTATTTGTGCCTGACCTGTGGTAGAGCCTTTCAAGCTTGTGTTGGTCTGATCAGCTACAGGCAGACACATCGTACCTCAACCCCAATGTAGTGATGTCATCTTGGTTCTCTTCAAGCATGAAGGACAACAGTCTATGAGCTAAGAATGGTTTTTATATTTTAAAATAATTGGAAAAAAACAAAAGAATAATAATATTTTGTGATGTGAAAATTTTGTGAAATTTAAACTTCAGTGTCCATAAATTTTTTTTTTATTATAACACAGCCACATTCACTTGTTTATTATTTGCTTTCTCCTTATGGCACAGCAGAGCTGACATAACTTGAAGATATTGCAGGTTTGGTTCCAGACCACAGCAATAAAACAGATATTACAATAAAGTGGGTCATATGGATTTTTTGGTATCCCAACGCATATAAAAATT